TTCAGGAAGGTGTGAGGGCGTCCCACTCCCTGGGGTGGGGCTTAGGGAGATCACGATGTGCACAGGGAGCTAAGGAAACCTTGAAGCCCCAGCTAATGCTGTTCCTGGGGCTCAGCAAGAAGGGGCAGAACAGGGGGAGGGGGTCATGGCGTTTTAAGGTATGGCCTGTGACATTAACATGCCAAATGGGCACCAATGCATGCCCTGGCTGTCCACTTCCAATTCAGCTTCCCATTTATGGCCTGGGAAAGCAACAAGGGTGGGCCATGTGTTTGGGCTCCTGAGCCACATGAGCGAGCAGGAAGAAGTCTCTGACTCCTGGCCCAACCCAGGCTGTTACAGGCATCTGGGAAGTTAACCAGCACATGAAAGATTTCTCTCTCTAACTTTTTTTCTTTTTAGATTTATTTATTTTTAATGAAAATGTGGATTTATGGAGAAAAGGAAAGACAGATACAGAGATCAAAGAAAAGACGTTAAGACAGAGGCAAAGATGTTCCATCTGCTGGTTCACAATGGCTAGAGCTAGCTGAGCAAATCTGAAGTCAGAAGCCTGGCACCTCATCTACCAATTGGTGTGGGAGAAGGGGCAAAGGTGGTGCCACAGAGCAAGCTTATGGGGTGGGGCAATTGTGTCAGCCTGGTCCGGGCCACTTGAGTCGACTCCCTAGTTATGCAGCCAGGGGCTAAGCAGTCAGCAGACAGTGTGCGGAGGAGAGCAGGGCCAGGGGAAGAGCAGTGATGCAGATAATTAGTGGATGAAGGTGGTGGGGGCACGGGTATGTCCATTTCACTCACACACACACATCACACACACACACATCCTCCCCTCCCCTCCACCCCCGTACCTTTACAGAGGCCCTTGGGGGACAGACTGGAGATGAACCATTACATCATGGTCCATAGTCCATGATCAAATGGCTTTCTGGACACTTCTCTGAATATCCTCACACATTTATAGACAACTTTAAAGTGCTTTTTTTTAAAAAAATAAGATATCCACATATTTTTTTTTAATACACAAATTATCAGGATACAACAGTGAAACCTCACCAAAGGACCATGCTGGACAAGAATCAGCACCTCCTGTTCCAGGTCTAACAACTGCTGCCTTTCCGTTCCACTCTTCTTACCTCACACTGTCCCCAGGCACTGTGTGCACAGGCTTGGACCAGGGGGTGATGCTAAGGTGACCTGGGGGAGCCCTTAGAGGGTGGGGCCTCGTGGGAGGGCTGAAGGCCCTCTGTAGTGCTTGTTGCAGAGTGGGTTCCAGGCACTGGCTTGGCTGCCTGGCTCCCCCTGCAGTCTTCCCTGGGCCATCTACTACCCTTGTGGGAGGCCAAACCATGGGACTGCCTGATCTTGGACTTGAGTTTCCCTACAGCCACAAGCCAAGTAAAGCTCTTACTGCACCTGTCAAGTTGCTGCTGGGGAATGTCAACATCTGGTCAGCTCCCCTCCTTGGCTGCAGGTGTCAGGAAGCATTCCAGGTGCATGCAAAAGGCTACCGGAGTTCTACTTAATGAGCCTTATTATATCTATTTCCTAGACACACTGTATATATATATTTATTCATCTGTTCTTTTCTTGCCCTGATCGTGCAGCCCATTTGACAGCATGCAGAAATTTCCTTTGATGGAGTGTTTCCTCCTTTGTAGTAAACTAGAGCTGCTCACTTACACAAGGGCCCACGCCCCCTGGCTCCTTTGGAAACTCACTTGGAGCTGTCGGCACCTGTGCCGCCTGATATGAAACTCCCCAGATCCCAGAATGCAGCTCTTCTACTTTACCACCTCAGAGTACCAAGTGATCGACAGATTAGTCTTGCTCACTTAAAAAAAAAATAATCAATACAAATGGCTTCTTGACCTCATCGTTAAATAAAGACATGACATCTTTAAACAGGAGTCAGCCTCTCCACGCCTGTGTGGATACACTACAATTCACCTCTTCTCCTGTTGATGGAGTTACGTTTTCCCCTCATGTGGAGGAATTACTGCAATGCACAGCCCTGTGGTCTCTGGCACACACATGCTCTCACTTCTGGCAGGTGCATGTCTAGTTGCTGGAGGGGGCGGCAGTAGCTTTAGCTGACACAGCTAAGTTTTTCCAGAGGAGTTGCCTGACTTATTCCAACCCATGGAGAAGGAGAATTTCATTATCACACACTCGCCAAGTGTTGTCACTTCCATCCCCCTTATGTATTTTAATGTTTATCTGTTTACTTCCATCTACTTGAGGATCAGAATAAGAGAGGAAGAGAGAGAGAACCAAAGATTTTTCCATTTATTGGTTCACTCCCCAAATGCCTGCAACAAGCCAAGACTGAGCCAGACCAGGCAGCAGCAGCAGAAACTCCCCCGGGGTCTTCTACGTGGGTGACAGGGCCCAGGGACTTGGCTTCACCTGCTGCTTTCCCAGGCACATCAACAGCAAGCTGGCTTGGAAACAGACCCGTGGAAACTCAAAGCAGTGCCCTAACACAAGATGAGCATGTGCTACTGTTGCAAGGAATGGCTTCATCTCCTGCACCACAACACTGGCCCCAGTTTTTCAACTTTAATCCACGGTTTCCAAAGAACCAAATTTGGTTTTGCACCTAACCCTTCAGCCTTTATCATCTCAATGTCCTTCCTTGAGGGGGCTTAATTTGCTGCTCTTCGTCTAATTTCTTGGTAATGATGTGTCAGGAGTGATTTTACTTTCTTCATGAATGCACTCGAGGCTCTGAAGCTCCACCCGACCACTGGGCTGGCTGTCTCCACAACTTCTGCTCCGACACTGTCATCATCATTCAGATATTAATGTATTCCCATCCACACTGTGATTTCTAACTTGACCCATCGATTACTTATTGACTGTGTCATTTAGTTTCCAAACACAGTATTTCTTGTCTTCCTTTTCCAGTCACCTGAGGCTAGTCTCTGTGCAATGTTTTTCATTATTCATACTTTGCTGGGTTTTCCCTGTGGCCAGCACATGCTTGCTGGAGATTTCCATACAATCCTCAGTCCCTACTACTAGAATAGCCATTTCATCTGGGTCCCTTCAGTTAAACATGACAGCAAGATGGAAAACAAACAAACAAAGAAGTTTAAAAATTATACAAATAAGCGTATGGTCATATAAACTACTAAATGGAAATGGGCAAAGTGCAGAACACAGTAAACATTATGCTCTCACTTGTGTAGAAAATTACTGAAAATATTACATGCGCAGGAATTTGAATAAGTATTAATACTCTGCACACAAAGGGCATGGTATCATGGATTTCTCTCTCTCTCTCTCTCTTTTTTCCTGAGGGGAATCAAATAATGAGGACTGCAGCAGAGTTACACAAGAAAGGAAGAGTTTTGTCCATTTTATTAAACAAACTTAGGCCATAAAATATTTGTGGCTTAAATTTCTTCTATATACTAAATGTATATAACCCAGTTAGCGTGAAGTGTTTGCTAGAAATCGTTCCTCACAGCTTCTTTTTAAAACCTTCAGTTATCTTCTTCTTTTTGCATTAGGATTATATCTGCAAGGAAAGAATTGGCATTAAAGAATGTTAAAGTAAGGGATCATCATTTACTTTGAAAGCTTAAGACACACACAATAGCCAACAGGATGGAAATGCCAATTTCATCCTTTATTAAAGGACTGGCAGTTCATTTTCATTTATGCCTTTGATGTTGCTTTTATGAATATATTGTAAACTGAAACAAATCATTAACAAAAAATGTTATAAAGCACTAAAATAATTAAAACAATAGTTTAAAAGTCACGGTATGTTTATACTTCTTTCAGTAGGGCTTGGAATGGATCCCACACACCTGCACTCAGAAATTAAAGCATACCATTTGCACAACAGAACAGAATGAACCCCAAATAGAATTATAACTGTAGAAAAGTTTCTGCTACAGCAATTAAACAAATATAATTGGGCAACCTGACAGTCGCATTTAATCCTGAAGAAATCAGTATTAAACCAGTATAAAAGGCATTCTCATCTAAAAAAAGTGGATTGTATTTCCAAAATTAGAGAATCAACCAAACTGACTGTGAAAAGTACATGACTTTCTTCTGTCTTTACGATTAGAGAAAAAAAAAATTAGGAAAATGCACCCTCACACTGTGTTTCTCTTCTGTTTAGTATTTGAGCGTCAACTAAGACTTGTTTGGCCTATTACATTTTCAACACTCATTACACTCCTCTAAAACCTCCCACAAACTTTGAAAACTCCAATCTATTTTTCTTTGTTTTTATCTATGTGCCAATTAAAGTTAATGTCTGTCATTTTGTCTTAATGCAAAGCCCCTTTCATTCATAAGTCTAATTAAGAGTTGAAAATAAATCTCAGAAAGTGGTCAAGTTCAGCTAGCTCAGGAAACCTCCTTTTCCCTGCATGAGCCAATACGGATGTTAACTACCTTGTGTTACAGCACAACTGCATCGACCCCAAATTTGAAAGCTATCCCCAATAAGCTCAACTGAGAGGTGCTCAAATAGTACAAGGAAATAGGTATCCTAAATTAAAACATTCCCGTAGTGAAGGGCCTATTTGTCCAAAAGGGCAGAACAACAAAAAGGAATCTATATAAATAACAATGCAAAGTTTAAGAAAGCTGAATTAAACCTTACCTAAAGAGATCATCAGCAAGCGATTCTTCCTTGGCGTGCTGAATTTGCACCTGTTGAAATGAACACACTTTCAAACATTTGCTCAGGGGTGAATATTAAGGACATGAATATCCAGGCTGACGCGTCACAGTGAGCTCTGGCCTCCCGACCATCTCCCCCTCCACAAATCATTTGTTTTCACTTCACACTGAGACTATCATTGCCCCAGTGCTTGAACAGAACAATTCTACCCGACCTGCCTTCTACATGTGTCCCACACATATTATTAGTTTGTTGAGTTTTTAATTGATCTTTCCAGCAGAACCCTTCTACTACATGGAATTCCAGTGCACTGACACAAGACCACTCCTGAGCCTGAGATGGGGGTGCTTCCCCAGCAGCAAATGGGCTCCTTCCGTTTAGTCCCAGCTGAGCATGCTGAAGTGGCTGCTGAACTACCCCAGCCAGGCAGTACTTTTCATGCTAAAGTCCTCAAGCTTCTAACACATTAAAACAGAAAAACCATGTGCTGAGGGCATTTCCTCAAACCCGCCTCTGATCCCTTCATTTGCCATCCAAAACCCTTCAGTGACTGAGTCTGACCCTTACAAGGTGCAAATCCCTGGAGAACCTGGCTTCCTATCACCTTCCTAATCATATCCTGCATCTCCAGACCTGTTCTTGGGCCCATGTCTTCACATCACTTAGCTGTGGATGTTGTGGCCATTTGGAGAATGAACCAGCAGATGGAAGAACATCCTTCTCTGTCTCTCCTTCTCTCTGTAACTCTGCCTTGCAAATAAAAATAACATAAAGCCTAAAAATATGCAAAAGAAGTAGAAGTAGATAGCAATAAGACAGTTATGCCTTAAATGTAGAGACCAATAAATAAGAAAAATATTTTAAAAGCTTTCACAGAGACTCTCCTAAAACGAAGCTTCAGAACTATATTCAAAAATCAGAACACTTATACAGTACTCTAGGAAAAGAAGTGGAGAACATTCGACAATGGTATATATTCTGTTTCCTACTGACTTTCAAGCTGAAAAACGGATACTTCAAACACGCAAGTCATCCAGAAAGTGGAAAAATTGGACTATCAAAAGATAGAGCAGGGGAGCTGGACAGAGGCACAAACAATACCCTCTGTGTTTACAGCAGAGACAACAAATGACACACTTTCTGTGATGTTGGCAGGGACACAGAAGAAAACCCAAGGGGAGGATGAACTCAGCACTAAAGGGAGAAAGAAACGTAAACTACAAAACACAGGACAGTACACAGCACTGTGCGTGTCTCGACTCTGGCACCTGATAAAAGAAGGAAATAAAATTTTACTTTAGGCTTCTGACTCCAAATACATACTGAGTGCTCCAAAAACAAGTATCACAAGAGACTGTAAAGTGGTCACGTATTGGTGAGCAAGACTGGCATATAGATGCAAACTTTATTTTTCTGGAGGAAATAAACTGAACCTACAATCCAAAGAAAACACACAGATAACATTCCAAGGAAAGTGATCACAATCAGAGCATACAAAATAGATACTCTGGAAAAAAAGGGCAAAACAGATCAAGGATCAAGAAATACCAGGTACTGATCTCACAGGCAAAGGAAAGAGGAACTTAAAAGAATCAGCAGGAAACAAGAAAATTTACAGAAGAATGCAACAGACTCCCAGTGATCCAACAATACACTAGGCTGAATTAGAACTCAATGGACTGAGGACATACCAACCAGAACTGAAGAAAGAAGCTGTAAATGGGGAGATGATCCGAAGACATCGCCAAAAATAAAGTTCAGTGACATAAAGAAAGAAAACATGTAGAAAAGTGGTCTGATGCATGGGAGAAAACAGTGAGAAAATCTAACTGATGCCAAATTGGACGTTCAGAAGAGAACAGATTAAATAAAAACTGGACTCCAGGTGTTAGGGATGTTTTGTTCTTAACTTGGATGGTGGTTGTGAGCACAGAAACACTCACTGATCTGCAGCTATCGTGCACTTGTTGGTAGGCACACCATATTTTAATGGTTTCCAAAATGGGCACTACTCAAGAAAATTCCCTATGATAAATGATCAGGTATGTTTACTCACACACAGTTCCTGCTTTAGAAACAGCAGGCTATCTATCAAATTTATCACTGATAGATTTGTAATAACCTACAGAAGTCTACACACCCATACTTTTTTTGTGGCTGAAAACTTTTTCCTGTTTAGATCAGAATGTTAACTAACCCACTTGCTTATGTACCATTTTGTAAACTAATACCAATAAAGTAGAATTTTCTAAAAGAAGTGATCCAGAAAGTACAGATTAATCTCAAGGCTTCAGATCTCACGTTTCTTGAATGATCTCAGGCCAGTTATCCTTGTTTCTGGTTCTAAGTAGTTGTTTTTAAGAGCTCAATCTTAAGAAACTTGCATCTGTAGTTTATCTCAGTTTGTGGGCTTCACTTGTACTAACCTCCATCTCCTGCCTTAGCCACTCTTCCAATTCCGCATTCTTTCGAGCATTATGAGCTATTAGATCTGATCCTCCAATGATGTGTGGCAGTTTTCCTGCTCCGGGAAACGTGACCTGTTAATCAGTCAAAGTAATACGGTTTTTAACACTTAACTAACAAATACAATGATCAATTCATACTCTAAATGACCTTTTAACTATTTACAAATGAACAGTTTGCACTAAAAACATTCTGTGTGCAAATGCATTTTTCAAAGCACAACAACCACCATATTACTGATTTAGATAGAACTCAAATTCATTTTAATTAGAGGCAATTCAGTACCATTTCCAAATAAATTTGGTTTGAATACCATTCGTAGCTTAAAAATAATTTTTAGCATATCAATATTTCTCATGATTTTTATATATTCAAACTACTTTCTAGGTATTTAACTACTTACACTGTTTTATACTTATTTACATACCAATAGCAAACACCACATTTTTCCCTGGTAACTTAATCAATTAGAAAATCCCGTCTCTTTTGAGTTTCTATTCACAAGCCACAGCTGTGAGTTGGGAAAGAGCAAGTGCACCACTAAAAAGGCGTCATATGAGAGGGATCTCGTCTAAGCAGAAGAGATTGCTCCTGTCGGACGGAGTTCAGACCCCTCTAGAGCATCATAGCAGGTACAAATCAACCTGAGAAATGACAACAGTACACGCTCACATCACAGACAAAGAGCTACACTATGTCAGTTACGGCAGACACTGAAATAATTACTGTCCTCTGATCAAACGCATAGGGCAAAGGCCACCAGTTAGTGTTAGGTCTGGATCAAGAAACAAATCCCCAGAACAGATAACAAACTCGCACTGATTGAACCAGTGATATCCCATTAGTTGCGCTAATCAAGTTTATGTAATGTCAGTTCCTTAATAAGCAGGAATTCAGATCTGATGCAACATTCAGTGTCCATGGAGTAATGTGTATATTATGGTGTTTGGGTCAATAACACACTTACATTATTGACACTGGTTCCAAACAGTTTTAATATATCAGCTAGATACATAGTCAGGTGATATGATCTACACCATGGTATCGCACAATGATGAAACTGTCTCCTCAGAATGTATCTCAGTGTTGTTAAGGGATACATGACTGGGTTTCTATTTGGTTTTATAAAGGCATGAAATAATAGAATGCCTGCAGCCTTCATTACTGGTTGTGCTCAGCTTTTAAGTAGAAGAAACTGCATCCATTTTGAACATAAACTGCTTTCATTACCATTTAATCTTAACAATATTTCTAAAAACATTTCAAACACTGCCCTCTTGTGATACACTTAAAGAAAGAACTACCTTTTTGAATTTCTTGAAATTCTTCCGTTGACCATAATCAATATTTACATCCGACAGATTTCTGGAAGTGGAGATAACCACCAATGATCTAAATTCAGTCAGTAACAGCTTCTTTGGAAACTCCTCGCCATCTTCCCGAAGTTCATCATCGTTCTTAAATGGAGTCATAAGGGATGGAAAAGGAGAAATAAAATTACTTGTTATTTAGGAACTTATGGCAAAAACTTAGAACGTCTGAGGAGACACAAGTTTGCTTTTGGTGCCTGCACTTTGTATTTGGAACCAAATCATATCTTCCTCAAATCCCCAAAATTATTAACTCAAATGCTTTATAACTTTGGAAACATTTCAACACATTGGCCTGTAATAGGAGACTAAAAATCATATGGGATTTTAAATTTAGTATCCTATCCTAATAAATAAACAGCTCACCTTCGTGCATATGTTCTCAATACAAAACCTCAGCACTGTCTGCTTCTCATTAGAACGGCTCACACAGATGATTACATATTCTACATGTTCCACAGGTCATCTACCATACTTAGGCATTCATGGATTCTCAGCACTTTTTTATTTTTAATTTCTTTAATACCTCAAAATAATCAATTTTTGTTTTCAGACGTTACCTCATTCACTCACAAGCCATTTCTTTTTCCAGATGAAGAGTTCTAAAATCAGCCTCAGGATTCCTTCAGACATCCTTCACTTGCTAACAGTGACCTCTGATTCATGACATTTGCTATTAGCTACCTAGTCAGTCACACAGCACCACTGTTGCAGCTGCTCCTGAAGCTGCTAAACTGGAAACAATAACAGGGGAAAGTGCTAACACGTCTAAATTACAGGCAGTCAGGAAGGAAAGGAAAACCAGAACAGACAGCAAGCAGGGGTTCCTGAGACAGGCAGAGCACTGTCAGGGACTCTTTCTAAAAAGCAATAGCCTAATACCTCCACAGTTCACAAATATCTCACATCTCCCGCCCTCCAGGTTTCACCCTCATTATTTAAGTAAAGAACTTGAATTTTATGAGTTTGACAATGTCTTGCTCCTGGTCATGTACCTACTGATGTCACAGGAGGCAAGGAATGACTCCATACTGTCACAGTTAACAACAGCATTCATTTCCAGAGGAGGCACAAGGAAGAACAGGATCAGAATTGCAGAAAGAGAAACAATTAATCCTAAGAATGTACAATGAAGGAAACAGATGACAGTTGCTCCCTACACGTCAGATCTTGAACAAATAAAATAGAACACATAAAAATTTCCTCACGCAAGCTTCTTCTTTGATGGACACTTCTTTGGCTGACCACAGTGATTCTTGCTTGAGATCACACTTCTTCCCAATTTCACTTTCTTGCTAAAGGAATAAAATTCATAAAATATTGCTCATAGGAGTTACAAACATATACATATTTACTTAACTTGAAAGGCAGAGTTACACAGAAAGAAGCAGAAAAAGATCTTCCTTCTGCTGGTTCACTCACCCAATGGACACAACAACTAGGACTGGGCCAGGTCAAACCCAGGTTCCAGGAGCCAGGAGCTTCATCTGGGTCTCCCAGACGGCTGACAGCAGAAGATGGCCCAAGACCTTGAGCTACCTGCCTCCCACCTGGAGTCCTAGAACTTCCTGGCTTCACCTGCCAGTCTTGGAGGCTGTGACCACCTGAAGAGTGAACTAGCACATGCAAGCTCTCCTTGTCTCTGCCTCTCTGTAGCCCTGACTTTCAAATCAATCAATCAATCCTAAACACAAGCCACTGTCCACTGAGCAAGCCAAACAGACTTTGTTCAGGCCTATAGTAAGTTCTAGAAGCACACTGAGTTCCCCTAAAAATCATTTGCCATTGTACCACTGCCCCCTTCTTCTCCCCTTCCCTGAGGAAAAGTGGGACCTATGTTTCTGCATAACTGGGATTGTGGTAAACACTTGTGTGGCCTTGCCCCATGATGTGAATCTTTCCCCTTCTTTAAATGCCTTTCCTCCTACTTCATTCTGTCACTTTATTCCAGGAAAGGTTCATAGTGCAGAGGGAAATTGTTCCTTCATTCCTATAGTGGGAACACCAATAAACTGTCACTGTGCTTCCCTTTGTCTTCCACATTTCCTAATTCTAGCAAATGACTTGTATAACCAAAAGAAAAACACCTTAATCCCAATGTTACATTGGGATCTTAACTCATATTTACAATTATAAAGTCACATTAACTGTTCAAGATACTTGTCTGCAATGAAAGTGGAGAGTGTCCTGTATAGAATCACAGTATCTTTCATGCTGAGATGTCCAGATCATGTTCTAGGCAAAACCATATTACATAAAGAGTTTCCTAAACTTTCAGTAATACTACAATCCCTTTAGATACAGTGCACGACATATCATTTTACATAAAGTTTTCAATGTTACAGCAATAAATATTCACATCACTTTTGAAAAGGAGATTGGAAAGTGCATGTTTAGGAACTAAAGAAAATTAATGCTTCACTCACCAATTATTACGAGTAAATATGTGTCTTCAACCTTACTAGGCATGACTACTTTAATATACATCCAGTTGCTATCACCTTCAGAATATTTTAACTTCATTTAGACACAATGATAACATACATTCAATATATGAACCTTCTCCTACCTTCCTCTTCTCTACATCCTTCAACTTGCTAATTCTCCTAGGGTTTTATTTTTTTTTAATAATAACATTTATGTAGTTATTTGAAACACAGTTACTGACAGAGAAGGAGAGAGATATCTTCCATCCATCGGCTCGCTTTAACTGCATTCCCTGAATTGCCAGGGAAAACCAGGCTGCTCACATAATTATCTTCTAAGTCTACACAGGTGGCAGGGGTCCAAACCTATGGACCATTCCCACTCAGATTGCCTTTCCATTGGCATGAGCTGGATCAGAAGAACAACAAAACAAACCAGTTCATTATGGGAAGCAGACAGAAGAGTGGCTTAACCCACCACACCATAATACCAGTATCTGTGAGACCCAGTACACTTAGTGTCACATAATTATCAATGGATATTACTACTGCACTGTAGGCTGGGCAAATTTTTTTTATTTTTATTATTTTTTATGAAAGGCGGATATACAGAGAGGAGTACAGAAGATCTTCCGTCCGATGATTCACTCCCCAAGTGAGCGCAATTGCCGATACTATGCCGATCTGAAGCCAGGAGCCTCCGGGTCTCCCACTGGGTGCAGGGTCCCAAAGCTTTGGGCCGTCCTTGACTGCTTTCCAGGCCACAGGCAGGGAGCTGGAAGGGAAGCGAAGCCCATATGGGATCCCGGGCGTGCAAGGCGAGGATTTAACCACTTGCGCACCGCGCCGGGAGATTGCAAATATAATGATGGTATCTCCCAAGTAATAGCTATTATGACAGGGTAGTAGAAAATGATATAATTTTAAATGAGAAGGAAAACTTTGGACTAGGTGGATATAATGAGGGGAGGAAGAACTAGACCACAGACGCAGTGGGTGCTACTAAGAATGTTACCATTGCAGGAGGCAATTGCCTAGATTGTCTTGGACCTAGACAAGTGTTCTACTGTTGGGAGAAAAGCAGCCAATAGCAGGTGGGCATTCTTGGCCTGGATAATGCCAATCCAGTGTTATGTAAATCAGTGTGCCAGCATAGCTGCTTATTTTATCTTATTCTTATTAAAGATTTGCAGCAAATGCCATGCAGTGGGGGACAGGGGACAGACACTAGGCTGGGAAGCCCCCTGCACACACTGGCCCTCGGGCTTACTGTGTGCTGCTCAATGGCAGGGGTGCTGCAGACTACCTGAGGAAGGGGGTCAGGGGCCTGTTGCAGTGGGGGCCCTGAGAGCATGCCTGACAGATGAGGAGTGAACTCATAAGACTTGGAGCTGATAAACTTTGCAAATTTTCTCAACCTCATGCAACGAAGCCGACACAACCCAGAACTAACACAACCACTCAAGTTATCAGCCTTGCAACATTCTTCCCCACATCGGGGTCTCTAATTCTCATCAAATGACTGGCCTCCATCCCTAGGTGCTGATGTAGTTTGACAGCAAGGAGTGACTGCCTTTCTTTCCCACTGTGGACACATGAGAAAAAAACAAAAAAGAACTGATACATTTGTCCCACCCTCCTCCCTCCCCACCCTAACTGGAGGCCCACATGCTCTACATTTCCCTCAATTTTGTAAATAACATTGAAAATAAAATAAAAGTTCAAACAGAATAGAAATAACTGAAAAAGGATAAAATCATTGCAGGAATAGCACTAAGTTTTCCATTTTAACTCACAGTAAATCTATGGACATACTAGAATCTGTATTAAGTCCCAAAGTAGAAAGAACAGTTCTAGGGGCTGGCATTGTGCTAACGTGGTTTAAGCTGCACATTGTGTTACCAGTACACCATACCCGAGGGCCAGTTCAAATCCTCCTGCTCCACTCCTGTTCCAGCTTCCTGCTGACACGCCCGCCTAGGAAGGGAGCAGCTTAAGTACTTAATTCCCTGTCACCAATATGGAAGACCAGGATGTAACTCCTGGCTCCAGGTTTTGGCCGTAACTGCTATGGCCATTTGCCAAGTGAGCTGGCAGCTGGAAGGTATCTCTCTCAACAGCCCTCTCTGTTACGCTTTCAAACAAATACATACATTTTAGAAAAAAAAAAAAAACAAAGCACAGAATAGTTCTACCATCAACATAGTTTAGAAGCTACCTTTTGGAAATCCAGCTCAGGCTGGATTCAACATGTCACCACGGGGAGACCTGCATGGAATTCCTATTGCTGAGATTGAGCTTGCCAAGTCCAGGTTGTCATGGCCACCTGGCTGCAATCTCTCTCTCTCCCCACATCCTTCCCTTCTTGTCACACCGCCTTTCAAATAAATAATTCAGTACACAAATTTTAAAAGACACTTACAGATCCTTTGTCTCTTTCTAGTGCTGTTTCATCATTGCGAGTGCTGCCTGTTTCCAGATCCATCTTGGTCCTTTTTCTCATATTGACATTGTCCTCTTGTTTATGAACATTCACTTGCATTTCCAACTCTGGTTTTCTGTTCTTGAATAACTCTTCCAAGACTTCATCTTCTATGGCCCGATCATCCATTTCTTTTCTCTTTTTAGTTATTAGCTTTTCCGGGCAAAGAGACTGATGAGCAGAATTTTTCACATCAGATTTGAAATTGTTCACTAGAATCAAGTTATCTGTTTCTTTGTCAAGAGGCTCATTCTGAGATAGATGCTGCTGTGTGTTTTCCCATATTAAGACTGGGGCAGGTTGGGTTTGTTCTAGAAGAGAACAAGACATTTCTGTTCGTGCTGACTTGGATGAAGACATTTCTTGATCTTCTCCATCTCTTTCCCTTAGATTTCAACAAAGAAAAGACACAAACAGATCATGAGTACAGTTAAGTAATTTTTCAGTTAGGTAAGATTTACAGTTCCCTCCATCTAACTCACAATGTATTCTTGATTTTCATAATTAATACTATCACTGGAAACCAACCACAGACATTTGAAAGCATTTCATATTTATACACATTCTACAGTTGTGATAGGACTAATGGACCTTGTGGCTCAAGCATTATGGAAATCCATATTTTCTCTGCTGAAGCAGAACTGATTAATCACTGCTGAGAAAAAGGTAAAAACAACAACAAAAAAAGTCTAAAAATACTCTGCTGCCAGGAGACAGCAGCTGATGTGTAATGTAGGGAATTGTGGGCAGTGAACATTATCCAAAGGATAAAACTTGACAGGTTAACTCACTTTAAGTTAACAAATCAGAGTAACTAAATCTTAAAGATGCTACTGATGTTCAGTGCATTTACTGTGTGACTGGATCATGAAAACACAAAGACCTAGGTCCCTGCTCTCACGTGCTTACTGGATTAGTGCTGAACTGGACCCGTGAAGGAGATGTTTAACACTGATTTAATATAAGGGTGTATGGTGGGCAGAATGACTAAGAGAATTTTATAGTAATTTATGTGATCAGAATTCAAACCAGGGAGCCGTAGCTCAAACAGGAAGGGAAGGACTGAAAAGATACTGAGAAGAAGCAGCAACACATTTATCTTGAGAGGCACAGAAGAGTTAACCACAGGGAAATGATCACAAACAACAACCAAAAGAACCCAAAAAACCCAGAACGACCCCCCAAAATCAGAATGCTTAAAAAAACATACAAAAATGTGTGAAGAAACTCTCAGGGCCAAGTCAGACAGATCTAAGAACCTGGATAGGCCACTATTGTGAAAAACAAATGAAGACTACAATAAAGAGAAAGATTTAACTGTTAAGCACTAGACAACTGTGTCCAAGGATGTCACTTATAGATGATGCATTGCTGGTTAAGAGACAAGCCCTACAGAGTGGCAGAAAAATCAAGGATCTGTTTTAGAAAATATTCATTGATTGAAAGGCAGACACACTTCATGACAGAGTGATATAGACAGATCTCTTTCATACATTAGTTAATTCCCCAAATTACCGTGCAGGCCCAAGTCAGAACCCTGCAATGCCATGCAGCTCTTCCACGTGGGTGGCTCGAGACCAAGCACTAGGGACCTACACTAGCAGGTAGCTGGACTGAGAGCAATGCAACCAGCACTACGACAGAACTCTTGATTATCGCAAGCAGCAACTGAATGCACTCTGCACAACAACGCTAGTCCAGCAATAATCATCTTGAACAGCTTCATGGTGACTTTAGAAACAAAAGGGAAGGGGCCAGCATAATGGCTCAAGTGGCTAATTCTCTGCTTGCAGCGCTGTCATCCTGTATGGGCACCGGTTCATGTCACTGCTGCTCCACTTCTCATCCAGCTCCCTTCTTGTGGTTTGCAAAGGTGGTGGAAGATGGCCTGCATCCTTGGGACTGTGCAACCCCACATGGGAGACACAGAGGAAGCTCCTGATCTTGCCTTCAGATCAGTTCAGTCCCAGGCACTGCAGCCATTGGGGAATGAATCAGCAGACAGAGGATCTTTCTCTGTCTTTCCCTCTCTCTGCAAATTTGCCTTTTCCAAGAAAAATAAGCAAAATCTTTTTAAAAAATCCACAAAAAGTAATTTCATCTAGGAGAATTATTATCCACAAGCACATGCAGAGGCAAAATAGGACTAAAGAAAATGCCAACTATATAATAATAGAAAAGCAAGATTTTCTAGAGACACAGGAAAGTCATCTAAACATTTACCTTTTTTTAGGAAATGGTTGAAAGTAGTTTTTGATGGAGTCAGCCTGCTGCTGAGAAGCCCATTTTCTACCTTTATGTTCACCTGCAAACTTTGTTGGTGAACCTTGAGAGTCTGACATTTGCTTCCTTTCCAGAGTATTTGATACTTGATTATGAGAACCTGTTTGGGGAGGTTCCTTTACAATGGATCTTTCCTGTGCAAGTGTTACAGACTTTTGTTCCAATCTGCACATCTGGATTTCTTTTGGCCTTTCACTCAAATCCATACTGTAGCAAAAGAAAAACAAATGCAAGTAGGTAATCAAGTTTACAGCAAATTTATCTACAAATGAGGATCTTGGAGAAGTCTAAAGTGATGTAACTTTAGGAGCAAAGTCCTGACTGACACTATTTGACTGGACTGATGTTACTGTCCAAGGGAGCAGCTAGGGTCAAACAAGCCCCAGGAGGAAGAGTTTCATCCTCACAAGCATGTATTTTCAGGCATGCTCTAATAGATAAATAGCCCACACAAGGAAAATCTACCTTGTCTCTTATTATAGATCAAATGAAACGATAACCGAAGATAAATGCTTATTTTCTTTCTAAAATTATTTCTAAATAAATGTGCCATAATAAAAAACATTGAGAAAAATCTGTCATTCCAATATCACATGTAAAGAACTATTTATATCACTCTAGATGGGTTGATGTTGATATTCCAGCCAGATGGCATCTCTAGAACAGAACAGAACTCCATACACTGGCAGAAAATAGTTTAAAGACACAGTTTTACAGCATATGGTTGGATAATGCCAATGCTATGATTTTCACATACACACATTCACCCATAGCACAACAGGTAAACTTGTCATTCAGCATCCAAAATAGTGTCTCTGTTTAAAAAGTTAAATCTGACCTCAATATAAATGTAAGTATAGCAATAACTAAATACAGTCCAATATATGAGTAGGGAGAGCTCAAATACTTAACACGAACACTTCATTGAGGAGTATTTAAAATAAAATAAATTATCTTGAATAAAAAGTATAACAGAGCAAGCTAATCTAATGCATTCCAAAGAAAGTCATCTCAAAAAAATAAAACCCCCAAATGCTTAACAAACATAAAAGCACTAAATAAGCTATCTTTATAGAGAAATATTTCAATTGTAAGTAATTCTGTCAATGGGAGCATCTCCTTTTAAGAAATCGAGGTAGTTCTATGGGATCCCTGGATCCTTGTCCCTTCCCTCTCCTCCCACTTCTTCCCTTTCCCCTCCCATTTCCTCTCCTTCTCTGTCCCCTCCCCTCTCCATCCCTCCCTTCCCTTCTTCTCTGCTCTCCCCTCTACACCCCTCCTTTACTCTCCCCTCCTTTCCTCTAACCTCCCTACCTCTCCCCTCCTCTCCCACTGCACAGAAGAATGACAACCATCCTGGATGGGGTGGCGTGGGCAGCACAGACTTCATCATGCTGAGAATGGCACAACATTTGAAGCTTACAAAATGTTTTTCTGCAATGTTCCACTTAACCATTTTTGATCATAGTTGACTATAGATAATAGAAGCTCCAAAGAGAAAACTATGGATAAAGGAAAACTACCATTATTTCAAACTTATATCACAAGTGACAAAGCTGTGTAATTCTTTCTAGTCTACAAGACACAGCTGAAGGAAATGAAAAAAAGAAATTCACCATAAGCCAAGCATCTATAGTGCTGGCTTCCTTGCCACAAAGGCAAAACTGAGTAGATGCAACAGAAAAGCCCAAAGGCTAAAATACTTAGTTGCTGGTCCCTTACAGAAAATTGATGACTTCTATTCTGTCACCTTCCCTGCCATCCTACTTTCCCACGCTTCATCTCCTAAGACATGATGTGATAAAGGCACTGACTATTTCTTCATCATACTAATCTATCATTAATCTAGTGGCAGCACATTGGCAAAAGCTTGTTAACACAGATGCCTTACCACGTATCTACTTGCTCTGACTCTGTGTCAACGACATACGTTGTAGTGTTCACTGGGAGACTTGGCCTTAGTTTTTCATCAACCAATAAGGCTTGTGAAAGGCTTGGCCCTGGAGTCGTTGTCTTTGCTCCTGTAAATCACACAAGTGAACAAGTGGAAACAAAACAAAGCAAAAACAATCACAAGGGCTAGAACCAAGAGAGACATTTAGTCTCTGCATTTCCACAACTACCACACTGGACCAAAGCACCAGCCTCTTTTTCACCTTGAGCTTTTCACTTGTACCCACCCTTCCACTACAGACTTTAGGAATCCATTCTCCACACAAATCCAGGCTAATCCTTCTTGTCTACCTGGACACTCTGTAACACAGACATATAATCTGCCTTCTCCCTCGTTCAGGATGCACTTCAGTGAAGCCCTCCACGCCTGCCTCACTACAAGAGCTTGTCCTCAATCACTTTCTCTTCACCTTGCTTTACTCTTCTCTTTCTTTGTACGGCCCTATCTGAACTGAGGCAGTAGACTGATGTTTACTTTAGAATCCTGAGCTTTAGGATATAAAATTCATTAAAAGAGGCCTGCATTACTTTATTCACCAAGGTGTCTTCAACACCAGAACAGAGCTTAGTACCTGATAGCCACGAATATTTACTAAGTTAATAAAAGTATGCATGTATAAATAAATGTTTTCAAGACTACAAATGGAATCAGTCTTAGAAAGCATAACAGTACCTAGCACATACACAGACTATGACTAAATGATAAAGTTGCTAAACCACAGAATAATGTTTTAATTACCTAAACTGGGCTGGTGCTGAGGATCACAATAATTCTCTGTAGTCATGAAAATAACTGCCAATCCAATTTCTGCTTCAGGAATAGGTCGAAGACCCTGTCTAGCAGGACAAAATATTAAGATTACATCATGCAAAATCAATCTTATGTTTCTTCCTGAAACCATAATTTTTTGGCATGAACAGAATTTCAAACACAGACCTAGCTTCCATTAATAATAACACTGCAGCAGTATATTACATTAGACAAGTCTATCGTACTTTATGAAGTCAGGTAACTATCTGCAAAATGAAAAAAAAAGTCAGAAAAAGATACAGATCTTTATAGTCATAAATTTCTATAATTTTTACAGTAGCAGAAAATAGTAATTCCAAGATGAAACAATAAGACAGTATTATAAATTACTCTATGATGACAATGATACAAGAAAAAGGGAAAAAAGAAAAGAAGTAGAAAGGACTACATACAAGCTATAGCTATACATGTGCTACTTCTGCACTTCAAATAAACTTCGACAATCGAATGTATTAAAGTATCCCCTTTTGGGGGGCGGGTTATTTATTTTTATTGGAAAGGCAGATTATCTTCTGTCCTCTGGTTCATTCCCTAAATTGCCACAATAGCCGGAGCTGAGCACATCCAAACTCAGGAGCTTCTTTCAGGTCTCCCACATGGGTACACAGTCCACAAACTGGGCCATCTTCCATTGCTTTTCCAGGACATTAGCCCGGAGCTGGACGGGAAGTGGACACCAACTGGCATCTACAGGGGATCCTGGAGCTTGTAAGGGGAGGATTAGCCACATGAGCCACTGCCCTGGGCCCTGAAGTATCTTCTTAAACGAATCTCATGGTATACCATTTTGCTGCTATTTTACACTGTGAATGACTGATTTTATAAAACAAAGATAATTATGAACTGAACTTTAAAAAGGGTTTAAGTACAGGTATAATCCTAAAAATTTTATACTTAAACATTTTGAAGACATTACAACCAGCTGATCACAAATACCTATATATCTTTTAGGCAATTTAAAACTAGTATTTAAATGTCCTATTAAGCTTTTTAAAACTATAAATTATAATATGCAATTAGTTCTGAAGAGTCAGTACCTGAAATATTGCGGGAAGACAAAAGAAGCATCTTTCATATTATTAAAATTGTTGAATATTTATCTGAGAGGCAGACACAGAGTTTGCAAGCTTTGACCCACTAGCTCATTTAAATAGGCACAATGACTGGGGCTGGGCCAGTTGCAAGCTCAGTAACTGAGGAAGCAATCCAGCTCTCCCATGGCTTTGGCAGCGGCCCAGTTACTGGACACTGTTGCTTCCCAAGATCTGTACTGCTGGGAAGCTAGAGTCGGGAGGCAAAATAAGGAACTGTATGCAGGCACTCTGATGTGGGAGAGTGGCATCTTCATTAAAGCATTCAGCTAAATGCCTGCCCCACTGCTTCTGAAATCAATAAAGAGAGTAATGTGGTCACCATTACTACATTTATTCAACACTGCTCTCACAGCTCCAAATAGAACAAAACAAACAAGGAGAGAAAAAAAAAAAACAGATCAGAGGCTCAGGGATTAGGAAAGAGAGCAGATGTGTTATTATCTGTAGGTACAATTTATAGAAAACAGGAATAAATGACTAAGGGTTAAACGGGAGTCTAAGGAGGTGGCTGCACACAGGATGAATATCTAAACGTCAGCACTTTACAAACATCAACAGCAAATAACCAGAAAGTACCATCAGGGAGACAGTATCATGCATCTGCATAGTACCATAGGGTACCTACTATCTACAAATGAATCTAACAAAAATATTAAAATGTCCACACAGCAAACACAAAATTATAGTGATTTATAAGGGACTTTAAAAGGCCTAAGCGAATGGTTAGGGACATCATATCCACAGATACTAATCAACACCTAATTCTACTTCGTGCACATACATTCAGTGGAATTCCTAAGAGAAGTCCAACACAGGTTTTGAGACTGTGATTCTAAACGGACATGGAAAATTGAGAAGCAAATAATAGCTGGGATGCGTCTGAAGAAGTGGAGAAAAAGTCTCCCAGCAGAGAGGAATTCACTGAAGTGACAGCAATTACGACAAAGTGGTAAATGTGGCATGACACATTCATCAGTGGAATAAAACAAAGGTAAAAGCATAGCTGCACATGTAGGAACTTTGTTATGCAACAGAAAAAAAACCAACCATGAAAAGCAAAATAAGACTAGTAAAAAGTCAATAAAACATGAGCATTTTCTGACCTACAAAAATATTTCTTAAACATAAACAAAATCACTGACTACAAAAGTTGTCAATTTCACTACAATAAACTTAAGGGCTTTTTATTTATCATCACACTAAAAACATGTGCTCCAAAGTTACAAGTTACAAAAAATTAACAGATTTTGCAATACTCCTAAGTAAAGAAACAAACAAAAAAGAATTAATAAAAAGTTTCTATAAATGTAAAAAAACACAGAAACATGCAAATACTAAGATGGTCTGTGGGCTCAGCACGATGGCTCAGTGGCTAAATCCTTGCCGTGCAAGCGCCAATATCACATACAGGCACTGGTTCATGTCCCAGCTGTTCCACTTCCCAGCCAGCTCCCTGCTTGTGGCCTGGGAAAGCAGTCCAGGATGGCCCAAAGCCTTAGGACCCTGCACCCATGTGGGAGACCAGGAAGAAGCTCCTTTCTCCTGGTTTTGGATCAGCTCAGTTCTGGCCGTTGTGGCCACTTGCTGTGTAAAGCAGTGGAGATAAGATCTTTCTTTCTGTGTTGGTCAGGTTGCCTCTGTAAATCTGCCTTTCCAGTAAAAAATAAATAAATACATGAATCTCAACCAAAAAAAAATGGCCTGGTATTTGCACCACATCTTTATTCTCCAGACATTTATTCACAAATTACTCTTTACATGAAATGTTTCTAAAAGTCTATTTTTTTAAACAAACACTGTAAAGAATGCAAATATTCTTTGATAGTTCAAGATGTAACCAACAATTAAGATTTTTTTCTTTTTTGAATGTGAGAATGAGGGCAACGGAGAGTCCACAGCCAAGTCTGTGCCAGGCCAAAGCTAGGAGTCAGGAACTCCATTCTGGTCTCCCATATGGGTAGTAGCTGCCCAAGTACTTGGTACATCTTCTGGTGCCTTCTTACGTGCCTTAGCAGGACGCAGGATCTGAAATGGAGCAGCCAGGACTGGAACAAGCCCTCTTATAAGGCATACTGCAGTGCTGCAAGCATGGTTACTTAACCTGCAGTGCCACACACCAACACCAACCATCTTTTTCAAACTCTGAGACTTCTCTGCCTATTACAGAGTCCTTCACCCTTATCCTGGCCCCAAAACAAATAACAGAGGCAAAGACTATAGAAGCAAATGTCATCGTATGACCAAGGTTGTCAGTCCAACCTTGTACTCCACTGAGGGTTTCTTCCCAACATGTATGTATGCAGAAAGCAACATGCACTGCTGAAGAGAGCCTGGACTAGAGAACTAGACGCCTGGATCCCTATTTTGGTTATGATGCTCTACATCTTCTAGTCAAGTCCTTTCATCAGGTACCTCATCTACATAATGGAATCATAACAGTAAATAACGCTTGTGAGGATTACAAATTTGAATATACTAACCTTTTCTATAGATTTATGTAATTTTTAAGTGATAAATGGTAGCACTCTTTTTCTGCTTGGTACATTCACTACCTGGCTCTCTGTCACAGGCTCTCTCATCACAGGTAAAATGTTGCCTGAAAGCGGCCTTCTCTACTTAATTTGTCTTTACGTTAAAAAACAAACAAGAAAGGTTTAGGCTTTAATTTATAAGGCAAAGTTAGAGAGAAGCAGAGACAGAGAGATCATCCATCTGCTGTTCCCCTAACAGCTATAATGGGATGCAGAGCTGGGTCACTCCAAGGACAGAAACCTGGAGCATCTTCCAAGTCTTCCACATGGTGCAGGGGCCTAAGTACTGTTGAACAATCCTCTGCTGCTCTCACAGGCAGATAACTGCACTGGAAGTGGAGCCGCCAGGATTCAAACAGGCACCCATCTCAGATGCCAGCACCACTGGCAGTGTCGTTAACCCACACACCACGGTATTAGCAGGAGGGGCCTTCTATATTTAGAATGGACTTTTCCACTTAGCCCTGTTACCTAGTTTCCTTCATGCACACACATAATTATGGGCCTACTTTATCCTTCTCTCTCTCTCTAGACAGTAAGCTCCATTAATGGCAGAGATTATGATTATCTTGCTAACCATTAAATTCCTAGTATATAAAATATAATGAAACAGTACATTTCTGTATTAGCAATACAATGATAATTTTGCTTTTCTTAAATATCTTTTTTTTTTTTTTACAAAAAAACGATTTACTTCTTTTTTCTTTGAAAGGCAGAGTGATAAAGAGACAGAGATCTTGCATCTGATGGTTCACTCAGCAAATGGCTGCAATAGAGAGCTGGGCTGGTCTGAAGAGCCAGGATCTTCTTGCTGGTACCTCTCATACATGCAGGGGCCCAGGGACTTGGGCCATCCTCCACTGTCTTCCAGGCTTAGTAGCAGGGAGCTGGATTCCAACTGGAGCAGCAGGGACGCAAATCTACATCATGGTGACGGCCCCTGAAATTTATTTTCTATTTAGCAAACCCACATGAGGAAAAAGAAAAGCAATTGCCATCGTCAGAAGGACTCTGGGAACAGGACAACTGAATCTCTAAGAGAGCTGGTGATGAATTTCTCGGGCATATCTGCACTCAAGGTCCCAACTATGTATCTTCTTAGGTGAGTATAAATTTAGTCAACAGACTAGCAAACCTGGTATTTCCATTGTGAGAAGTTGGTGTGATGGAGGGGGTGAACAATTCACTAGAGAGAGTGAGCAGAGCTAGGGTAACTGAACTCACCCTGCAAGGAGGCAGGAGACAGGCAGGTCCCCACGGAGTAGCTGACAACTGTGGCCACACAGATAGTGACCTGAGGGGTGCACCTGCAGTGCAGTCCCTTATTCCTTATGCTGACTGCCACCACATGCTCGGAAGGGAGCAGTGGGTGGAACACCTCAGGCTGTCTGTTCCAATATTGACCAATTAAAGAAGCATACTTGTAGCTACAATTGGATACTCAGCTGGGATGAGCTTTCTCTGGTCCACCACATTTTTCTGGTAGGTGATTGGCGATTTTGCCCTGTGCTGGGGAATCTATATCCTCCGTCATCCTAGAGGACTCCACCGAGTGCTCCAGGAACACCCTCCACAATTTCACAAATCCTTTTAAGCTTCAATAACACTGAGACTGTGGATCCAGTGGCACGGTGGCTAGGTCTGAGCTGCTTCACTTCCAATCCAGCTCCCTGCTGATGTGCCTATGAATGCAGGGGAGGATGGCCCCAGTGCTTGGGTGTTTGTACCCACGGGGAAGAAGCTCCAGGTTCCTGCTTTTGGATCAGTCCAGCTGCAGTCACTGCAGCCACGTGGGAAGATCTCTTTCTGTCTCCCCCTTTTCCCTTCTATGACTCAACCTTTCATATAAACAAATCTTAAAATAAAGATAATAATATTGCTAAGATTGTTAACCAATAAAAAGCTGATGGCAGAATGGCAGAAACCCTTGACTGAACGTATCTATTGACTCTATCAGCACTACAAATACTAAAGTATCTGACCTTTATTTTTTTTCTTGTCTCCTCAAAATTACATTATACAGGAAGAAAAAATTTTATATGACTTTTAATATGTCGTTATGAAAGGATGAATACATTTCAGCTTTAAGCAACTTCAGAAAGAAATTATCTTGAATTTTAAACTTAACTATATCATATTCAGCAAAAAAGCTTAATATGACTTTATTCAATCAGACAGGCTAAATACAAATTCTATAATTGTTAAAAAAAAAAAAGAGGCGGAAAACATGCTGATAAAACTGTTCCTAGCACACCAAGTCACACTCAATTTTCAAGTAAACCACATGACATAACTATCACAAAAATTCTTGTATCTAGGAAGCATCGTCAAAAGTTCATGGAAACTGTGTTATGAAAACACTACCTATGAATTTTCAAGTGCTTTTCCCAAATGAATGTCTTTTAAGGTCATTTTCTCCCAGACTTCTCAAGTAAGCTAGTACTTTTACATTACTAAATGAAGTATAATCAAAATGTCACATAAAACTTCCCATTTGCATTTTAATTTAAAATAATAGTGCTGTACCTCTGAAGCATCTCCATAATTGAGTGAATCCATTTTTTCTGAGAGTCAGGAAGTACCATTTGTGTACTGGTTATTGCTATATCAATAACACACGTTCCAGGAGCTGAAAAGAAGCTATCCTCTTCTTCATTTTCTTCTGTTATCAACTTAGCTTCTCCACCTCCAAAGACAACTGCTGAACTTAGTTTCTTATACTAAAAATGGAAAGAAACATGTTTTGTTAGCCAAAGTGTCCTGAGATAACTTTTACTATGTAAAAATTGAATTTGGAAAATAAAATTGAATTGGAATTAAAAAAGAATGGGTTCTACTCCTAGAATAGATCATTTGAGATTTCATTTTGGGCAGAATCCTTACTCAGAAGTTCTCCATGCAGCCCTGGAACCATTACCTTGTCCACAGTAACATCATCGTCATCATCAGACTTACTCTGTCGGCTTACCCGCATGACTTTCTGCAGTAACAAAGTTAGGACCCTTGTTTGGTACAGAGAAGACACTCTATGGATGCTTACTGACTGAATAAGCTAGGACAAAGTTTCCTGTCCTCTGTGTTTACATATTTATATAAACCAGCTCAGTTACCAGGTATTAAGAAGTATAATTATATACATGACCACCTGGCAGACGCTGGTGCCTGCACTTCACAATTCTGTACAAAAATTCTCAAATCAAATACCTTATCAGTGTGAGAACAATAGCACGTGTTGATTTATGGTCTTCTTTAGGAAAGTATAATTTCTAACATTACCTGCTTGGCATTTAAAAATACAAATGTTTTTCCTTTGAAGATCTCTTTTCTTTCCTGCCGCCCCGACAGATCAATATTATTATTTCCAATGGCTGGTTCATCAATAGGTGGGTAAAAACTGTAAAAGTTTGTAAAGCATATTGTAGTTACAGACTACTCTGCATGCTTACTATTAAAATGATAAATTTCTGCTAGCAGAAAAGCATAATTTCCATAAAATCACAACAAGTTCTTTTTAAAGTAAGATTTTGTTTTAATTTGGTACAAAATGACCAAAAGCCACCCATGTGCCTTTTCAGGAACTATAGTGAGAGGTACTGCACAGCACAGCAGGACTGGCTTTCAGTTCCTCAGAATAACCAAGGTAGACAATCATAATCAGACACATGGGAAACACACATGACTCAAACAGTTAATGTGAATTGCAAAAGGGTGAGAGAGAAGATCAAATTCTATCAGCAGCTCGTGTTTACTGGGAGCCACTCTGTGTTACCAAGGCTCACATTTAGTTCTGTGAACACTACCGTAATATTGTTTAAAGATTTATTTTTTATTATTTTTTCATTGGAAAGGCAGATATATAGAGAGGAGAGACAGAGAGGAAGATCTTCCATCCGATGATTCACTCCCCAAGTGAGCGCAACGGGCCGATACTATGCCGATCCGGAGCCAGGAGCCTCTTCCGGGTCTCCCACGCGGGTGCAGGTTCCCAAAGCTTTGGGCCGTCCTCTGCTGCTTTCCCAGGCCACAGGCAGGGAGCTGGAAGGGAAGCGGGGCTGCCGGGATTAGAACCGGCGCCCATATGGGATCCCGGGCGGCAAGGTGAGGACCTTTAACCACTTGCGCCACCGCGCCGGGCCCTACCGTAATATTGTTTCAGAGCATTTTAGAAAAGTTCACAATAGTTTAAAACTTTCTCTAGAGTAAAGAACCTATTTTTCTGCTCTTTAATAAGATGCTATAATATTTTTTAAACGTCTGGGGAGATGAGAAGAAAGCAAGGAGGAAGTAAAACTGAACAGATAATTCTTAAAATCTCATTAGGCCATTCTTTGAATTCCCTAAGAGATTTTGTTACAGTTGATGCAGCTTGTCTCTTTAGCTCCCGGGAAAACATTTAGCCCAACACAAGGATGACTACAGGGAACAAGACAGGAAGAGGCAATTCACAACATTTAAGGGTTAACTCTCTTCAGAGAGCAACAATCAATATGACAATATTGCAATCTTAATGGTGATCAAAGGAGGTAGAACTGATTTCCCTGCTTCCTCCTTATAGCTGCCATCTCGCTCCACCTCCATTTCTCCTTGGCCACACAGAATATGATACATCTGCTAAAGTAAAGCTGAGTCTTGACAGAAAAGTGGAAAATTTATGACAACTTGAAGAATAGTAGCATTTCTCCAATCCATCACAACAAATGATCTAAGTGTATCCTGCAATGATTTCTGCAAGCCAAAATCTTGGGGGACTGGGTGACAATATAAAATTCGAGCTACCATGTTAACTTTCCTGTGTCTAAGCAACTTTTAAAATTACATAGTTCACTTTTAGCAGTTTACTGTACCTAAGAAAAGAGTTAACTGTAATTTCGTTCAAAGGATTTAAGATTCTACACTGAACTAGGATTGTAAAAATAAGCATAGAATTTACCTTCAGCTTTTCCTAACAATACTATGAGAGTACTAACTATTTCTGAGTCTAGAATATTTGGTTCTTCCACTAAATACGATGAGGGCAGAAATCTAATAGTTTAAAAAAAAAAGATTTAATTATTTGATCGGATAGAGTTCCAGAGAAGGAACTCTGGGAGGGAAGAGAGAGCCAAGCCAGAGCACTATCTTCCATCTGTTGGCTCACTGCTTTCACTTCCCAAATGGCCTCAACAGCCAACGTGAACCAGGGTGAAGGCAGGAGCAAGGAGCTTCTTCAGGTCTCCCACATGGATGGAAGGGTCCCAAGCAGTTGGGTCATCTGCTGCTGCTTTTCCCAGGACATTAACAGGGAACTGGATCTAAAGTGGGTAAGTCAAGACATGAACTGGTATCCATATGCCATGCTGTCAGCACTGCAGGCAACAGCTGAGACTGCAGTGCAACAACCTGAGTCCCTGTAAATTTTTTTGGCTTATTCAATCTTCAAGTGTATCTTCTGCCTGGTTTATGGTGGACATTCAACAGACATAAATATAAATTATAACTTTGATACATATACAAAGTATAAACATCTCTCAACTTGTGGACTACAAATTTAGGTATTAAAATTCTGGGATTAAAACAATGTACTGGGCCCGACAGCGTGGCCTAGCGGCTAAAGGCCTTGCCTTGAACACACTGGCATCCTATATGGGCGCCGGTTCTAATCCCGGCAGCTCCACTTCCCATCCAGCTCCTTGCTTCTGGCTTGGGAAAAGCAGTCGAGGATGGCCCAAAGCTTTGGGATCCTGCACCCATGTGGGAGACCTGGAGGAAGTTCCTGGCTCCTGGCATTGGATTGGCACAGCACCAGCCATTGCGCTCACTGGGGGAATGAATCATTGGATGCAAAGATCTTCCTCTCTGTTTCTCCTCCTCTATGTATATCTGACTTTGTAATAAAAATACATAATAAATATTTTTTTTTAAACCCACAATGTACCTTGGTTTACTTTAAACACTGTGTAATTTGAAACTCACCACTAGGTACAATCTACCTTGACAAAAACACAGATATAGGTAAGAACTACCCTGAGCAAAGAACACCGATACATTAGTAGGTAGCTGGAGAGAAAGCCGTACTTGACCTGGCACACAGACTGCGATCTCAGCTTCACCCCTGTGCTCCAACTCCAGGACAAACACAGATGATTAATAACACAGTGAGAAAAAGCGAGCCATGTTCTGAACTTCATATTCCTAGATGAGCCTTTCATTTCTCAGTGTACTGATGAGAACAGAGATTAGTGAGAACCATACAACTAATTAAAGTCACTATTTCTGAAGTAATGTTTTCAAGAAGTTTCAAAGCATTTCTGGTGCTCCAGTGACAGCTGGTAAGAAAACTAGAAAACACAAATATAATCTGATAGAAATATAGATTAGAGGCAGGCTGCTTCAATAGAAGGCTGCCAAATACAAAGTGGCATAAAAATATTTAAAAATAAACTTGGCCTGATTGTATAAAATGTTAAGAGCCATAAGTAAAATAATGTTTTCATAGTAACTGGCACACATTATCCACATATTTATGTAAAGATAATCAAGAAATACTTTTTACCATTTACATTATATACTTGTACATAAATGTTTATCTCATCTTCAATAAATATCTTCTAAACCACAATAATTCATTTTGCTTTTGTCTTTTAAGATTTTTCAAACACACTGAGCACGGATTTCTCCAAACACACTGAATACAGTGAAATCAGTATCCCCAGCAACAACTACTGCCCCAGGACCTGCACAGCTCCCTGTTTCATCAGTGTGCTGGGAGCATGTTCCTGCTTTCTCGAACCACTTACTACACTGCTTCTTTACCTGATCTCTAAAAGCTTAGCCCAAGGGGCAGCTACAACTTGCAGGTGTGCGGCACAATGCTTTGCCTTGGACTTTAACTGATTATATATGCTGTTCTCTACTAGTACAGACTTCCTAAATGTTCATGTACTGACTGTTTCAGATTGGTGTGTTTATTAGGCCTAAAACCTAATGGCAAGCTAGTGAGGTCAAACTTGTTCCAGTTTCACACTTGCAGGCAATAGACAGACTGCTGGCTCAGAGACAAAGCAGGCAGCATAAGCATCACTGTTTGTAGGTCACGTCCCTGATCAAGGACCGTGGCAGGATAGTCAGTATCTTGTGTGGACTGTGCTACCAGGGAGAGAACACTGACCTTGGGCCCGCCCGTTTCGTAACAAGCAGCCAAAAAGCCTGCTGTTTGAGAACAGGCTCGTGTAAAAGGCCTTCAGAGCACTGCATTTTTGGCACACCACACAAGCTGTGTAAGAATACAGGGTACTTGGGCCCGTTGCAGTGGCGCAAGTGTTTAGGGTCCTCGCCTTGCACGCCCGGGATCCCATATCCCATAGGCATTGAAGGCTAGTTCAATCCAAGCAACCTACTATCCAGCCCCCACACACACACTTGCAGATGCCTTTCTGTCTAGCCACCCCTGTCCCTGCCCTGGTTTTCATGCTCTCCAGTGGGAGTGGTTACCCACAAGGGAGGTGCCCACTATCTTCCTACTAGGCCAAGCCAACTTCCGGATTGTGCACTCTCCAGGTGGTTCTGGCACTTAACTTAACAGAATTGGACTCCAGTGCCAGCCTCTGCCATCTGATGATGTGGCAAAGCCCAACTAACCCTCACCCACTCTAATTTTTGCTTGCACCAGTCAGAACAGTCAGCCAAATATGGCCCTTCCCCAATCTAGCTCACAGGAGGCCCACAGGTGTTGTAGCCCTGCCTAGTCTGGTCTGCCCCCATCCCAACTCATGCTCTCCAGTAGGAGTGGTTGTCCAGCAGAGGAGCCCACATTCCCCTGGCGGCTTTACCTCCTCTCCCCTTCCCCCCGCCCCACCCCGGTTCTCAAGTGTGCTATTTGGGCACTGCAACCATATCTGGTATGGCTCACCTCACAGTGGCATTCCTTAATGTGCACTGGTATGTGTTGTGACCGAAACTGGCCTGACCCACACTCTATGCTGGTGCTCAGATTCGCCAGCAGTTGATGTGAATGGGTTCAGCCTGGTCTGCCCCCAACCTATGCCATATTCATGATGTAAAGATTTATTTCATCTTTATTACAAAGTCAGATATACAGAGCAGGAGGAGAAACAGAGAGGAAGATCTTCCATCTGATAATTCACTCCCCAAGAGACTGCACCAGCTGAAGCTAAGCCGATCTAAAGCTTGGACCCAGGAACTTCCTCCAAGGTCTCCCACGTGGGTGCAGGATCCTGAGACTTTGGGCCATCTTCCACTATTTCCCAGGCCATAAGCAAGGAGTTGGATAAGAAGCAGGGCTGCCAGGATTAGAATCAGCACCTATATGGGATCCCAGAGTTTGCAAGGCGAGAACTTTAGCTGCTAGACCACCACACCTGGCCCAAGATAAAAATAAATATTAAAAAAAAAAAAAAACCTACTACTGCCTGCCTGCCTTCCTTCTTTACTTTTCTCCCTCCCTCCTTTCTCTCTTTTCCCTTCAAGGTCACCAGCACTGGATAGTCTTTGGCCAGATCTTCAAACATCCACAAGGTAACATGGGCAGTGATTCTAGGCTGTTGTGCCGCCTCTGTGTGTATGCTTTACCCTGATCCTCTTCTGGCCACTCTGGAGGAGGTCAGCACCACATTGGGCCACCAGGGCAGAAAATGAAAGGCCACATGGATGGGGCCAGCAGAAAAGCAAAGAGCAAGCTACAAAGGAGACTCAGCATCTCAGACAACGTCCACAGAAGCCTGCTGACAGTGGCTCTCCAAGGTTCTGTCACCTGCCTGCTTCTGCATTTCCCCTAGTGACCATGTCCACACTCAGGACCTCAAAGGATGTGTATTAGGCTGAAGGTGACATCAAAAGAGGATGTGGAGGCCTGGCACAATGGCTCAGTGGTTAAATCCTTGCCTTGAAAGCACTGGGATCCCATATGGCTAAATCCTTGTGGTGCATGCCCTGGGATCCCATTTGACTGCCAGTTTGTGTCCTGGCTGCTCCACATCCCATCTAGCTCACTGCCTGTGGCCTGCACAAGCCTTGGAGGATTGCCCAACATCTTGGGATCTGCACCCACATTGAGACTTGGAAGAAGCTTCTGGCTCCTGGCTTCAGGTCGACTCAACTGTGGCCATTGTGGCCACTTGGACATTGAACCAGGGGAATGAAAATCTTTCTCTCTGTCCTACTCTCTATAAATCTGCCTTTCCAATAAAATAAATAAATTTTTGGAAGTAGAAGGACAAAAATCACAAACTACCACTACTACCCAGTACTTCATACCCATCGTGATGTAGCATAACACATAACCATGTGTTTATGGTGATGCTGATATTAACAAATCTATATCTGTCAGTCCTATAAAACATAGCTCATACATATGTATACAATAAGACATGCTTATGAACACGAACCACTTTGTTACTCCTCTAACAATAAAATGAGTGGGCCCAGCACAATGGCTCAGAGATTAAATTTTTGTCTTGTAAGCACTGGCATCCCACATGGGTGCTGATTTGTGTTCCAGCCGTTCCACTTCCCATCCAGCTCCATGCTTATGGCCTGGGAAATCAGCAGAGGAAGGCCCAAAACCTTGGGACCCTGTGCCCATCTGGGAGACCCAGAAGAAGCTCCTGGCTCCTGGTTTCATATCAGCTCAGTTTTGGCTGTTGCAGCCATTTGGGAAGTGAACCAGCGGATGGAAGATCTTTGTCTCTGTTTCTCTTTCTCGTCATAAACCTGATCTGTCTTTCCAATAGGAATAAATAAATACTTATAAAATAAAAATATTAGTAACATTACAACATGCTGATAAAAATACTTTGGAAATTCTTAACTTGCTTAACACTCCTAAACTTAAGGCCATTTGAAATAGCCAGTCATTCTATAGAATCAATGTAAGCTTGTAATCGTACAATCTGGCTGCACTGATGGCTTTTGGGCAGCAGGTTAGGGGTCTAACAGGTTACAGGCAGTCGCACCCATGGCAGGAAATGTGGGGTGATCCAACCAACAGCCTTTGGTGTCACCAAGAACCCCAGGCTTTCGGGACTGGTTAGTCCCAGACAAGGCAGGATCCCCAATCTCAGGGAGCACAGAGTGGGCTGTGTGTCCTAGTGCTGAAACACACAGTGCATGCTGTGCTGCCTGCGCTGACTCCAGTGCAGAGGAGGGGAGCATGTCCAGGTGCACTCGAATGAGTCGGCCTGCTCCTACAAACCAGCTGAGGTCCTCAGACGCCACCTCAAAGACAAAAAAGGCCAGAAACTTCTCAGAGTTAGTGACAGTAATCTATGGACACAGCCAGCAGAATCAGCTAAGTTTTCTATGGCTCCTGAGATGTAGCCATTAGGTGAGATGCAGAGAGCTTTCTGAACCCAGGACATGAAGACCTTCACACCTAATCAGTAAGAAGCAACGACAGAAGATGAGACAAATGTATATCCTCCAGCAGCCCTTAAGAAAAGGGGTTGGAAATCTCTTAGTGGGAGAGTGAAACAGGACACATAAGTAGCAAGCTTAGCATCACCAACTGGAAGCCAAAGCCCCCCTACCTTATGCAATGTGGTCTATCTACTTGTCAATCAGATGGCCCCTTCCTCAGGAGGCACTCCCCTCACCTGGGACTTGGGGTGGTATTAGGTACTACCCCTCCTTCCAGACTCAAAAGAAGCCAGTCAATGGCAAGTGGCACTCTCTCTTCCCCACCCAAGATAACAAGATTAAAGCAGAAAATCTCTTTACAACCCTTCCTCTCTCTGGCCACTCTAGCCCTAAGTGTGTGTCTGTGATGGCCTTATCTTTTAAGTAAACCTTACCAAGAAAAAAAAAATACATTCTATTTTGTCACATACCCTATAACTCACTGACTTGTATATTTTGAGTAAACAAGCTCTTCTCCTACGTAACTGACTAAAGACATTTACCATTTTGTAATGCTCAGCATTTTGATCATACAATTTGGAATAAATAATAACAAATACTTTCCCTTGTAATCCTAATTCTTACTGCTTTAAAGCATCACTAACAATATCCATAAACAGATCTCCAAGTCTAGTGGCTCACAAATCTGTCATGTATGATCCACATTTTGTTGCAATTACCAATAATCAACATTTCTTTTAACAGGCAAGTAGGATGAGAGCAAGCCATGTGCTCAGATTTTATAGATGGAATTACTAATCTAGAGCTACTACACTGTGTCAGTGATCTCATTTTGAAATGAGGTAACAAAAGCAGTGCCCAGTGCCGTCAACATTTAGGTCCAAATATGTGGTTCTCCAAGAGGGTTACTGCAGCCCCACTACCAAGAGTACCTCACCCATGACCCCGACACTGGCACATGAGCAATGCTGACCTATTTACCATGCTTCAACAGTTTTTTGTTATATATTAGCAGTTAACATCTGTTTCACAGAGCGAAGAAATAACCAATTAAGAATTTGGGGTATTCTTTCTTTACATACTAACTGAAAAATATCTCATTAACATGGAACACATACACACACACAAGAAAAACGTGGAACACAGCAACTATCACATCTAGAATTCCAGAGAGTTAACCGAAAGTCAATGCGCTCATCTTTTCTGTCATATGTTGTTAATTAGAAACACATAATATACCTTTCTATTTGTGGAGGCTGTTTCTTGGACTGAACTGCTTGGAGAAATTCAGTAAAATACTCTGGCTTTACAATGGGGCATCCACAAATGAGTGCACAAATCGTCTAAAAGAAAGAAAATATATGTGGATATATATATATATAGTCATTATGATAGCTTCTTCTAAAGAAAACATTCATGTTATAAACTACAAACATGCCTTTCTAATAACTGTTTTCTTTCCTTTTCTTAATTTGATAAACGAAGTCACAATCTGTAAAATAGAATTTCATATTTGCTCAGTTTTATACCACAAACCAGAACTACTCAATTATCAGAAGCCAATGACACAGTAGTCCTTTGGGATAGGCAGAATAACACAAAGACTTTAAAAATGCATTCCAATTGGAAAAACATTACAAGTACACGTTCAGGCTGAAGAAATCAAACCCATCCTGCAGAGGCAATACACATTAAGAGATAAATGGAAATTTCTGTGGAGCCTTACTGCTTTCAGAAGGAGTAAGAGTATAGAATAAAGCCTCTTCAACACAGTAAATCAAGGAGCAACTGGTTAGGCTCAGTGGAAGCTGTTGCACACATAAAGAGAGAACGAAACTGTGAACTAACGTGAATCAAGCTATCAGCCTCAAGTAACACACATCCACAAACTCATAAAGGACTAGAAAATACTACTGCGGGCAATTAAAATAAGAAAGAGCTGGCATATTCTAGGAAATAATCCAACTATACAGTTTATACATATGTTTTCAATAATGCAGGTGTTAGGAGCGACCAGATTGGGGGTATCTCTAAAGATTGGAATCTGACAGATCCCAACTTCCTATGTGAATGAGATCATCCAAATGCAACATAGAGTATTTAAGTTCAATCAACACAGGACTGAATAAAACTGCAACACGCGCGATTCTGGGCTAAGCACGTAACTGCTCCAAGTCGCAATTTCTCTTCAAAATATAAAAGCTGAACTAAATACTCCTCAGGTTTCCCTCTGGTCCTGACATTCAATAATCTGAACAAAACAAAAGCAAAAAGCAAAACAAAACAAAACAAAACCCTATAAGCCTAACTATGCATTGAGAACGCTGAGCAAAAACTAATGATCAGGGTTTATTTTGATGTTTTTTTTTTTTTTTTTTTTTTTGCAAAAAGTGATCAGAAACACCAAAGAAGAAAGGCTGCACACTCCATGGTGGCGTCTCTAATGGTGGTCATTAGCATGTCAGGTACTAGAAGTGTCCTGCTCTGAGGACTTGGCAAAATCTCCTAAGACAATCAAAGCATCTTTGACCTTATTTCAGGCCTTCTAAACCCATGTATCATTACCTACTCCATTTGAGTAACTTAATATCTTAAGGGGGATTATGCTGAGCTAACATTTAAATATCAGGTCCTCGTGCATATGAATTTTGGTTTTACAAATGTTTTATGAATCTATTACCTGTGAGTTTATCAACATGAGTATTTTTTAAGTTAGTCTTGCTGCAGCAGAAAAAAATCAATGTCCTACATTTTCCAAGAGGGAACTATCTTTGTTCAGGGAAACTTCACCATGATACAAATTTAACTTCAGGTTCAATCTGGGCAGTGAGCCTTTCTCTTTGACAGCTATTGCATACACATATATGTACACACATAAGAGCCATTTATGTATAAATTAGAATATAACACTAATATTTAATTAATTATAACAAAAGGTTTTTGCATCTTCAAACACAGGAATCAAAGTATTTGTTGCTTTTCAGCCTAAAACAATCCCACATATCTTTGGCACAGTCAGCCTGTTTAACGAATCACATCTTAAATGCCATTCTTCAATTACCTTTGGATATATCAAATCTGATGAAAATGCAAAACCTGAAAATATACCAAAATACATCACTGCTTTAATGACTAGTCAGCATCTTTGGAAGGTACATATCTATACATCTCAGGGCTTTAAAGATACAGCAAAGAAGTTTTTTGTGTGGTTATAACTTAACTGAGGGAGCATGAGACCATGAGACAATGTCAGAGACTGGAGGAAGACAATCTGACAGAAGAGACACATGGTGCTAACTCTGTGCTGTGGTGAGTTCACTCAAGGTCCCAGAACTTGTTTTAATATGGGAACACAGTTCAACTTACTTCCATGGTGACTTTCACTGACATCATGACAAGGTGAGTACATTCTTTTGTCCAGCTGTTCACAGTGAGTCCTCCAAGTTGCAACACAGCTTGATTTAGAGCAGTTTTCCCAGACACATCTAAACAAGAAGAACAGGCAACCAAATGTTCATACTCTACCCTGTGAATGACAATAAAGTTACGTTATCACAGTTACAAAGACTTTACAACTTTACAATACTTTACAACTTTAAACTTACAACATATTATTCGTTTAATTTTGACACATTATAAATTTGTAACTTAGGAAATTCTTACCTCCTAAATCTTGTGTTCCCAAAGAAGAAAAAGACATGGCCAACATCAACATTACATTTTAACTTATGAAGCATCAAACAAACGAGGTTCCTATCACAACTCACAGGGACTAACACAAACTTTTACTCACCTGTCACCCCCCATCTGTGATCCACAAAATATACCAACCACACAGAGTTCACTACTGTGCTAAATGGGAAGTCAATTATACTGTCATCTTATAATCCTTATCTTTGCTTTAAAATTCAATTGTTGTGAGATAAAATTGTCCACTTTAATCTAATTTAAAAAGTGTGGGGCCAGTGCCATTGGTTTGGTACACTAAGCTTCCACCAGGATTCCATATGGGCAACAGTTCATACCCCAGCTTCCCAAACATGGATCCAGCTCCCTACTTGTGGCCTGAGAAGGCAGTCAAGGACAGCCCAAAGTTGTGGGACTCCTCAGCCATGAGGGAGACTCAGAAGAGGCTCCTGGTTCCTGGCTTCAGATTGGCCCACCTCTGGCTGTTGTGGCAACTTGGGAGTGAAGGCAGGATCTCTCAGTCTCTCCTTCTCTCTGTTCATCTGCCTTTCATGTAAAAGTAAATCATTAACAACAAAAATTAAATAAACAAATCCATACCTGAATTTACTTTCAAACACTCCAAAGGTGACTCTATCCCCTGTCTTCAAAGTTTGGGGAAGGTGATTTTGCATTTTTGCCTCATTAACAAAGGTACCATATTTAGAATTATCTTTGATTGTCAATACAGGGATTTCATCAGTTTGACTCTGAAAATTAGAGAAGTAATTACAAGTCTTTTACAGCTCAAGCACATACAATCCAGGGGGAAATGATTCACAGGAGACATTTGATAACTTTTGAAAAGGGTAAAATAATAAATAGCTGCATATCCTGACACCAGAGGGAATGACAGCTACTGTTCTGGCTGCCTTCAAAGGACTAATTAGCAATTAACATAAATATCTCCCTTTAAGAAAATCTCTGAATTTCAGAATTATAACTCTTGGAATACAAATTTTTCTTTATTTCTGTAAATCAGTTGGGACTTTCCCAACCCTTCCATTTCACACACTTGAGAATTTTATGATTGGCAGCAGTTTGCTTCATGCATAACATGACAGCTTCAGTCCTAAGTTTTCGTTTTGTTTTGTTTACATTATCAAAAGCACATGGTAAACACTGGGCGAATGAAAACAAGGCATAAAGCCTAGAGGTTCTGACTTTTGGTAATAATTTTATTTTTTCTATTGCAACTTCTATAATAATGCTTTTCTACAACACAAATAGACACAAAACCTAAATGCCAGTAAACTAATCCATCACTTGTGCATTTGTCACATTTGTTCAAACTAACTGCTTACTTTCTTGTTCCTACCACGATGATTTTAAACGTATTTATTCATATATTTCTATCACTCTCATCACCCGTGGTTCTGGTGAAAGCTAACAAATACCTTCCAAGCCATTCAAAAGAGCTGTGGATCAGAAGCAACAGTTGTCTTCCCCGGGAAAACCGTCATTCCCACTGCGGAGCCTCCCTTTACACACCCAGACTTTGTGTCCATCAGTCACATACTCTCTTTAAGAGCGAGCATCATGAATGTATCACAGCTAAGCCCAATAACTCTCACCACGGAACAGTCAATGTTGTTAAGTAAACAAATACAAATACAACCTACTTTCTCCAAGTTTCTAAGTCACTGAAACAAAAGCATAAAATGCTCAAACAGCTCTCTCTCTCTCACATCAAGGCAATATAGTGTGATTTCAACTCTCACTGCAACCTAGCAAAATACAATCAGGAACATACCAAGTTGGTCACAGCAAAATTAGCAGTTAACACTGCATGATTTCGACTGATTGACTGATCATCTTCAATTAGAATAGCACAGTTTTTCCTTCCAACGATGTACTCAGTGCCAGTCAAAAGTCTGTATGGTTCTAAGAGGAATAAAATAATGAGACACAAACACACATACATAAATGTGTACATTATATAGGATAAAACTCATGATGTGTCAAGAAAACACTTCGCTATTTCAATGTTCATCAGTTTTACATAAATTAAACTCCCATTTTCTATTAAACCCTTATTGAGGAATATCAAAAGATCTCCTATATTAATGCAAGGGCATACCACTTCTCTCAAGGAATAACAGTGAAAGGAATTAATACTTTCCCAAAGTATACATTTACTGAAATCCCAAGTAAAGTCCGAATATGAACTTGACTGGAGCTTCCATCCATTAGTTCACTCCCCAAACGGCCACAATAAAAGAGCTGTGCCGATCTGAGACCAGGAGACAGGAGCTTCTTCCAGGTCTCTCATATTGAGTGCAGGGTCCCAAGGCTTTGGGTCGTCCTGGACTGCTTTCCCAGGCCACAAGCAGGGAGCTGGATGGGTAGTGGAGCAGCTGGAATAAGGACCAGTGCCCATATGGGATGCCAGTGCTAACAGTAGAGGATTAGCCAGTTGAGCCATCACACCAGCCCCTATTCTTTGTTTGTAAATTTTTACCTTACTTTACTTATTTGGGGGACAGGGATACGCGTTCTGACTCACTGCCCAAACATCCAGGGTATCTGAGCCCTGGACTCAAGCTAGGTCTGCCCACAGGTGGCAGTAACTCAACTCTGAGCTGTGGCCAAGGGTGCACTTTAGCCAACAGCTGGAGACAGGCTGAACAGGACTCCCAGGCTAGCCCTGCTACACAGTGCCAAATGTCTGCCTGGTCTGAGCAGTGCTATCCCTGTAACAGATGGCTAAGTCTCAGCCTGTCACCTACTCATACCAGGTCCTGCAGGGCAAATGCCTTCTCACTGCACACTCAGACCAGGCCAACAGTGAGCTGCAACTAACCAATCCCGCTGTTTCTGGAAGTCACCTCCTACCGTCTGCTGGACTGTTGGGTACTGCTCTCTCAGCCTCCACTGGCTCGGGCCACACCTTGATTCATGAAGCCTTTCCTCAGGTATGCTGTGCCAAACTCAATTTGTCTCAGGTCTGTCTTCTTTCCACACATCCACAGGAACTCTGAGAGCCACAAGACAAACTGAAATCTCTATGGTCTGGCCTTGCACTGGTGCAAGTTCATAGGGATGCCTATGTTGGTGTTTACAAAAGTCCTTCAGAGGCCAGATCATATTAATTCTCAGTTTGCATGCTGGCATCGCATGTGGGCACTGGTTCAACCCCAAGCTGCTCCACTTCCCATCCAGCTCCCTGCTTCTGGCTGGGAAAGCAGTGGAGCATGGCCCAAGTTTCCTGCACCCCTATATACACATGGGAGACAAGACGAAGCTTCTGGCTCCCAGCTTTGCACTGGTCCAGCTCTGGCCATGGAGGCCATCCCGAGAATGGAAGACTTCTCTGTCTTTCCTGCTCTCACTCAAGTGAAATAAAGAAATCATCTTCTTTTTTTTCTTTAAACCTCTTTACATAGCCAGTCAACACTGCATCTTGGGAGACCCTTTTTTTCCCAATCACAATGTGAACACCCTGAACACACAGGCAATCATGGCTTTACTGGCTTACCCTTTCTTTTATCAGCCAATAAGGACCACAAACAGCAGGCAGGCAACTAGCAACTTCCACTAGGGAAGTGCAGGCACACAGGAAAGGGGCGGGGTGAAGTGGCCTGGCTTTTGCTGCAGCTCCCCTGGGACACCAGCATCCCAGGTTTGTGCAGGGGGTCCAGCCCAGCACCGCCAAGGCGCACTCTGACAGACAGCAACTGAGGCCCTTGCATCCCGGGGTTCCTGGCTTGGGCCTGACCAGCCCCAGTGTTGGACACACCTAGGGCAGTGAACTCGGAGATGCAAAAGATGGTCTCTTTCTTTCAAAAAGAAAAAGTCTGGGCTGTCCCGTCTTGCTGACAGCACGGAAACGCGTCTGAAACAACAGACAGCTGCTCCGTGCACCTGTTTCTCCTCAGCCACCTCAGCCAGGGCTCAGGGAAGGGCCAGCCGCCCCACCGCCCATGCCCACTGCACAGCGCCGGGGTCCCACGGCCACTGCACAGCGCGGGACAGGGCCGGGCGTCCACCCGCCCAACCCCGGGGCCGAGGACAGCCGGCCTTCCCCGCCACGGCGCAGCCGGGACCACCACGCGCGTGCCAGACCCCCGGTTTCCTTCCCGTTCCGCCGTGCCCCGGAAGGTAAGGGGACCCGACCGGAAGCGACCCTCCCCGACTTCCTTCCCCGCGTTGGCGCTCCTCCGAACCCGGGCCCTCTGTCCCTCTCTGTCCTTACCTCGGGCTGGGCCCGCGGCCGGGAGGAGCTTCCACATGGGCCCTGCTGCCGGCCGACGCGACCGGCGCCAGCCCGCCTGCCAGCCGCCCGAGCTGCGGGGCGAGCGCTCCCGGGCCGCGCGAGCCTCTGTGCCGCCGGCGGGATGCAGCGGGCGTGCGGCCAGGGCGCGGGGCCGCCACCTGCTGGGGAGCCAGGAACAGCGCTGTCTACAAGTTCACCAGGTACTTGTTGGCAAGAATTGCAGAGTCCCCTAAGAAAAAGCTCTGAGAAAAACTTTGCAGTGTTATTTGCTATACGTTTAATAAAATTAATGCAAAATCAATCAAGGGGAAAAGATGTGTTTTAGCCAAGTATGTTTGGAGACCATTGGAATGTGATTCTTGTTGACTGCTGTCCAGTTTTGGTTTATGTCAACTCTTAAGAGTTAAGTCCAGCATGAAATTGTCTCCTACTAGACAAAATAATTGTGGTAAATACCTGACAAATTTGAAAAAAGGGAAAGAAACTGGATGCCTATATTGTCGTAGTGCCACTTTGGTAGAGTCTAACTTAGTGGGTTGCCTGTCAGAAGCCTGTTCAGAAGGCATTTTTTGGTATTGCCTTTTGTGCATTTTATTATGAAAATGCTGCAGTCATATTTAGTGAAAAAAGATCTGAATTACTGCTTATAATAGAAATAAAAGCAAGCATTGGTTGCTTAAACTGGTTTCTCATGTCCAACCAGAAAAAGAGAACTTTAGTTAAGGTAAGATAAGTAAATGCACACACATACACCATATAGACTTTTTTGAGGGGGAGGGGTAGCTAAAAGGAAATCAATTGTATGTAATACTTTAATAAATTCGTAAATTATTTGACAACTGACATTTTCATTTTGGAAATTCAACTAAATCTAAAAGCATTGTAAAGTTACTATGGTTAAAAACGAATAAGAAATTTAAATTTTCTTTGTTTCTCTGTTTTTTTTTTTATAACATGTAGAGCTGCTATTTTACTGCTTGGGGAATGGGAAGTGAAAATTGGACCCTGGAGGGTTTCTACACGCTTTCATCACTTCTCTTTTAGAGAATATTAAAGTATCCAGTGTTAACTGGAGTAAAACAATTACTAAGTACCAAGAGCAAGGAAAGTCTTGAGTTTGTTAGCATTGTGACCTCCTGGAAGGAGAGATGTTGAGGGTGTTGAGAACAGTGCTTTTCCATGTGTCTGGTCGCTGATCCAAGTTATACGCACAAACAGAAGCTATGAGCTTTCAGGGCACACACTGCTTTAAATGTATAATGCAACTTGCTGCCAGAACCAGAGGTGTTGAAGAAAGAAAACAAAACCACCTCCTTTCTATAGCCACCTTTCCATAGCTGTTAAACTCAAGTTTACAGTTCTGTTTTAACAAGATCGTATTTTATTTTGCATAGCCGCACATCTGCTTATTTAAAAAAAATACTTACCCTTTGGTAGTAATGGTTCAGTACAAGTGAGTATTACAGCTTAATGTCTCTGTGTTCTAATTCTAAGTGTTCTTTTATTCCAGGTCGTATAGAGCATATAAGACATCTGTAAGGTCATTTTTTGAAATATATTATAAAATAATAAAAAAGCTAACATAATTAAAAAAAAAAAAAAGAATTGCAGAGAGAGCAGGAGAGACAGACAAATCTTTCAGCTGCCCTGTGGTTCCCGAATGGCTCAAAGATCAGGGCTGGATCAGGCCCAAGTCAGGTACTTCATCAGGTTCTGCCTTGAGGGTGGTAGGGGCCCAAGCACTGGGGCCATCTTCCAGCTGCTTTGGAAAGATTTTTTTGTTTAATCAACAACTTGAGGACGTTGTTGATTAATGCATTAAGATACCCCATGCATTTGGATTTCCTTGGTTGCAATGATTCATTTGTGTGGATCCCTAAGGAGCGTGTTAGCAGTGAGGATGATGGTTTCATGCCAAAGTAACTCCTTGAGATTTTCTTTTTCAAATTCAAGTCAACTTATCCTAACTTCTGTGTTGCATATTATGCTCTCATCTAATCATACATGAAGTATGGGTAGTCTGCCACTATGTCAACTTTCTCCTGTTTCAGGTTGGTTTAAGGTCTCCTAATGTATCATCATCTAACTGCAAGTCTCATCTTTTCTTCAAGCCAGGACACCTCCGACTACTTGAGAACACACGTGTGATGGTGTAATTTCTGCTTTTCTGAAAGAACTCGGAGGAGACCTGATCGAGGAGCTTGAGGAACATCTCCGTCAGGGCACAGTCCCTGCAGGTAAAGCACAAGAACCAGGGCAAGGAGCAGCCCAGCCCAGGCCCGATTACAGTACCCACCAGTATACCTGTAGCTCAGATATGGGGGCAGGCCAGGCTGGACCCGTTCTTGGCACCCACTGGCAGAGCTGAGAACCAGGACAGGGTGCAGGACAGGCCTAGTCGGACTGTAACAGCAGCCAGTTCACATTTAGGATTGTGACTAAGGGCTGGCTAGGCTAGGCGAGGCTGCAGTACCCACCAGCATGAGCTGGAATTAGGCACACAACATGCCAGGCCAGGCTGCAGCATCAGCTGACACATGCCAAGATTAGGCAGATCATGCCATACCAGGCTGCAGCACCCGCCAGTACATGTGAGACCAGGGAGATGTGGGTTAGCGTGATAGGGTGGCAGCAGGGGTTCCTGCTGGTGGGAGTGAGAACTGGGACTGAGGGCAGACCAGGCCAGACCAATACCCATAGGGCTGCATGTGAGCTGGGAAAGGCAGCAAGGCCGGGTGACTATAAACACTGTGCATGCATGAGCCAGAAGAAGTGCAGGCTGCCCGGGCTTTGCCACAGTGTCAGGGCTGGCAAATGCTGGGACTAGGGGCAACTCCTGTCAAGCTAGACTGCAGAACCACCAGGAGAGTGCAGGATCTCCCAGTAGGGAAACTGTGGGCTCCTCTCTAATGAGCTGTGACTCCCACAGGTAAGCATGAAAAGCAGGGCTGCAGGTGGGACTGTCTGGCCAAGCAGTGGCATCTACTGGGATGAGTGTGGGCTGATAACAGTGTTTGTTGGGTTGAACTAGGCTAAAACGCCCATTGATGTATACAAGAGTTGAATGGGATGTGTGTCAGACAGGACCAGTCTGCTGCACATAGTGAGAAGTACATTGATGGTGATTTTGGGGGGTCGCTCTGACTAGGCTACAGTTCCTGCTGGTATGTTTGAGGATCAAATGTGTAGTGGGCTGGGTTGGGCTGGATGAAGCATCCATTCTTTAGTGTAAGAGATGGGCTTGACACAGAACTGACCCAGCACAGGCTAATGTGTTGTCAGACTAAGCCAGACCCTGTACTGGCAAGCACACACAGAGTCAGGTCTGGGTTCAGCAGAGACGAAGTCTCTGTGGGATTCACCCAACTGAACCACTGCACTCAGAATTCCAACCGTGTGTTGAATCCTAGGACCAGTGGACTGACTGTGGAGTGCAAGTATCAGAAGTGGGCTTCCACAATAGCTAAGGCAGAGTAGTGGATGGCATACCCAGGTGCACATGGAGGATATGCCAGTCCACTGGGAAGTGCAGTGGACATCTGCTACCACAGCAGAGGAAGGAGGGTAAAACAAACTGTACAACTAGCCCAGCCAAGTGTTGACAGCATATATCTGGGCAAATGGATACTCTCAGGTGGACTGTGTCAGCCAATGGTCTTTGGATGGATTTTCTCATCCTTGAATCAACAAAACTGACAGCATTTCAAAACTATTGAAACCACTTGAGCACAACCTTCAGAGCATGCTTCCCTTTGGGAGCCTGGTATGATATTGGGTGGCCATTCCCCACCCCAGGTACTGAGGCAGTTGGAAGGCTGAGTGCAGCTTCTCTTCTCATCTCCTCCCTTGCCCCCAGAGACAGGAGGAAGAAAAGGAAACTTGCAAACAATGATCTCACCCACTTTCCCCTAACCCTCAATCCTTCCCACCCCCAATCAACCATGTAACAGTATCATTTTAAAAAAATGTGATTTAGGGAGCTAGCGCTTAACATGGTGGCTAACATAGTGACCTCCTTCCAACATCAGAGTGACTGTTTGCTTGCTGGCTTCATCTCTTGAGTCAGAATTGCTGTCAGTGCAGACCCTGGGACAGATGCTACTTATGTTTTTCTTTCCTTCCATTCTTTCTTCGTTTCTCTCTCTCTCCTTCTTTCTTTCTTTCTTTCTTTCTTTGGCATTGTTTTCATTTTGTTGTTGGATATCTTCAGGTTTTTCTTTAGTGTTTTTTTAATTTTCATTGCTAATCTCTTTTAATCCTTATTTGTGCCAGGGTGTATATGTATGTATGTATTTTTTGTATGTATTTTTGAAAGAAATTATTTTACTTGGAAAGGTAGAGTTACATAGAGTTTCCATTCCAAATGGCTGCAGTGGCCAGAGCTGGGCCATTGTGAGATTGGGAGCTAGGAACTCCTTCCTTATCTCCCATTTGGGTGCAGGTTCCCAAGGACTTGGGCCATTCTCCACTGCTTTCTCAGTCACTGGGTTGGGAAATGAAGCAGCCAGGACATGAGCCAGTGCTCATATGGGATGCCAGTGCTGCAGCAGAGGATCAGCCTGCTTCACTGCTCCTGCCCCTGTGTGTGTTTTTGTAGCTACTGTGACTGAGATTGTTCTCATCAAGTTCTTTCTCAGCCAAGAAAGAGCCTGTTGGCCTATCAAAATACTACTGGAGTAATTCAAAACAGTTTGACAAGAACTGGTATTAGCTGTTTCTTGGAGGTTTGGGAGAAGTCATTAGTGAAGGCATTTGGTCCTGAGCTATTGCATTACCAGTTATTTGTTCAAGTGTTCTATGTGTTTGTGACTCAACTTTGGTAAATTATATGTTCTCGTAGATTTATCAGTTTCTTTCAAATTTCCTGATTTGTGGGTATATGTTCTTAATAGTTCTGACTGATTCTATTTCTATAGCAACCATTGTTTTCTCTTTTGTGTCTCATTCAAGTGACTTTTTAAAAAAAGATTAATTGTATGTATTTGAAATGAAGAGTGACAGAGAGAGTGGCCAAGATGAAGAGATCTTCCATCCCATCTACTTGTTAACTCTCCCAATGGCTGTAAAAGCTGAGCCTGGCCAGACCTAAGACAGGAGCCAGTCTTTTTTAATGTCTTGAGATTTGTTTATTTTTCTACTGTATGATCAGTCCTGTTGTTCTATGTGCTGATGAAAAGGATGTGCATTCTACAAGTATGAGGTGTGATAGTGTACAAGTGTGTTGGGTCTGTTGTAGGGAAGGAGTTAATTAGCACTGGTTAAGCTGAGCAGTAACAGGAAATGGGGTTGTGGCTAAAAGCACCTGGACTAATGGGACTCATTGGCATGTTGTTGTCTGGCTAAAGGACTTGGGGTAAAGAATATTGAATTAAGGAAAAAGGGAGGCTTTGGAGAGACTTCTACCATGACTGGTCTCTTGGTGCTTCATCCTCAGACCCTCTCCCTGTCCAAATTACTGGCTCTGCTGACAGGAGCAGGCTCCACTTGGTCCTTGTGTGTATTGAGTTTGTTATTTCTTGGTTGACTTTTTTGTCTTGTTGATTTGTTCATAGATGAAAGTGTAGCTTGAATTATCCTGGTATTATTAAAACTTAACTCTCCTTTTAGATCTACTAAATTTGTTTATTAAATGGTGCTCTAGCATTAGGGGTATATGTACTTGCAGTGGTTATATTGTCTGTTAAATTGATTTCATTATCATTGTGTAGGATCATGGTCTCGTTAACCATGTTTGTCTTAAAGTTTACTTTGTTTATGATAAGCATGGTTAATCCCTGCTCATTTTCAATTTCTATTTACCTGGAGTATATTTTTTGCTTCTTTTTTTTTCGATTTATTTACTTTTGGGCCAGGGGAAGTGTTAAGGCAATTAAGTCCTTACCTTGGACATGCTGGGATCCCATATTGGCACTGGTTCTGATCCCAGCAGCCCCACTTCTCATCCAGCTTCCTGCTGGTGGCCTGGGAAAACAGTTGAGTACAGCCCAGAGCATTGGGACCCTGCACCCTCATAAGAGACCTGGAGAAAGTTCTTGGTTCCTGGTTTTGAATTTGCACAGCACTGGCGGTTGTGGCCACCTGGGGAGTGAATCATTGGATGGAAAATCTTCTTCTCTTTCTCATCTCTTCTCTGTGTATCTGACTTTACAGTAAAAGAGCAAATTTTAAAAAATATTTTTTTGTTTGCTTTTTATTGGAAAGTCAAGTTTACAAAGAGAAGAAGGGACAAAGATCTTCCATCTGTTGGTTCATTCTCCAAGTGGCCATAATTGGCTATCTTCAACTGCAGGGAGCTGGATGGGAAGTAGAGCAGCAAGGATATGAACTGGCATCCATATAGAATCCTGGTGCATTCAAGGCGAAGACTTTAGCCAATAGGCTCCCATGCCAGGCTTATTATGGTTTTGCATTCTTTCGCTTATACTTTGTATTTTTGCAGACGAATTTTGTTTGTTGTGGGCAGCCTTTTGCATATTATTGTGTCCTTTTATTATTATTTTTAAATTGATTCATCTAATCTGTGTTTCTCAGAATTTAGTCCATTTACATTCAGTGTTATGATTACTGGTAATGAGTTGGTCCTGTTTTATTTCAATTTTTTATTTCTTCAGATATTTGTTGAACATTCCTAGTAGAATTCAAATTTTTACAATGAAAGTAGGATTTTTTTGCTTTGGTGTATAATACTTTCTTAATTATCTTCTACCTTTTGGAGAATGTATCTCCCACCTAAGCCTCCAACATCCTTGCCAGTCCTTACTCATCCATTTGAAACAACAGCAATGCATTAGATCTGTGTGTTCTTTTCCTTTTAATTTTATTTTGCTCATGTTTACCTAGTTGAGAAGGATGTATACACCTGTGGACTGCTGATTGTGGTGTGGACAAAGGAACAGGGGAAAGTGGATGAGACCATTTTTTCGAAGTGTTTGTTTGTTTCTTTCTTTCTCTCATTGTCTCTCTTTCACACTGTCTTTCTTTCTTTCTTTTCTTGTTTTATTTTCTTTCTGTTCCTGGGTCAAATGGGAAGGAAGGGAGGAGGGCCACTTCCAGCAGCCCAACTGCATCAGCACCCTGGGGATGCAGGATGGCCACTTGATGTCATCCCAGGGTCCCTGATGTGGAGCATTTTCCAAGGGTATTGCTCGTGATTTCGACACTTCTAACACATTGTTGACTTCATTGCTCCAAGGTTGAGGAAATCCTTCCAAGGTCTGCTGGCTGAAATAGTTCATCTTAGACACTCAATTTGCCTGGATACTTGCTGTCAAAGCTTGGCCAGGAGAGTTGTCCAATTTATTCTGTCTTCCATCCTCTGCCATGGTACCAGACGTCCTCTAAAGGTTTCAGTTAGCTGTCATGTCTATCGTGTGCTTCTAGGCATGTCATCCACTGCACTGCCATTAGCAAGTGTGGGGGCCCAGTTCTAACACATGCATTCCACGGTCAGACCACAGATGCTGTGATTTTGCCTGTGCTTGGTGTTTTGAGTCCAGTGGTCCAGTCTGGGAGTTTGAGAAGGAAGTCCCCAAAGAAACATTATCTGTGGTAACCCCAGACCTGAGTCTTGTGTGTCAGCTAGTGTGGAGTCTGGCTCAGTTTTTGACCCACCTCAGCACTGCTTCCCCCCACCCCCGGTGGTTGCAGTTTCTGAGTCAATTCTGTCCGCAGTTCATCTCTTACACAAATCAATGGATACGGTGGCCCAGCCCATCCCTGTGCACCACACACTTGGCCCGCATGTAAATCAGTGGGAAGTGTAGCCTAGTCAGAGCAACCCCCAATAACTGCACCAGGTCCACCCCAAACTTAGTTCCTGTGCTTGCCAGCATGTGCAGCAGACTGTCTAGTCTATCCCGCATCCCATTTGACTTTTGTACACATGAGTGCGAGCTGCAGCCTAGTTCACTTGACCGGTACCATGTCCCACCCATACTTATGCTGATAGGTACAACCACCTGTCCAGCAAGGCCTGCCTCAGCCCTGGTTTTTATGTTCACTGGTGGGAGCTGTACCCCAATAGAGGGGTATCCAAGTGTCCCAATTAGGCCTGCTTCCAACCCCAGATCTTGCACTTTCGAGGTGGTTCTGTAGTGTAGTCTCACACGATTTGTTTCCATTCCCAGCATGCCAACTGATGCTGCAGCAAAGCCTGAGCAGCCTGCACTTACTCTGGCTCATGCATGCCCCAGTGGATATAGCCAGTTGACCCAGTCTGACTCCTGCTAACCCAGCTCAATGCAGGCCAATAAGTGTTGTAGCCCTGCCAAGTCTGGTCAGCCCCATGTCCTAGGTCTCCTGCTCAGCAGTGGGTACACTGGCCTAACAGGGGAGCCCCTACAGTACCCCTCCTGGGATTTTCCTCCACCGCAAGAGGTCTTACATGTGGTGGTGGGTGCTGTGGATAAGCCTGGCATGGCCTGCCATGTAGCCTGGCTTGACCTGGACTGCTCCCAGTTCTGTCACTAAAGGGAACTGGCTTATGTTGTGACCCAACTCAGCCTGTCCTGTACCCCATCCTGGTTCTCACATCTGCTAGTGGGTGCTATGAACTGGCCCAGCCTGGCCTGCTCCCAGACCTGACCCGCATTGGGAGAGCTGCCCAAAGCAAAGCTGCCAGCCTCTTACCAATCTAGGGATCTCTATAGCAAAGACGACCCCATGACAGTGGCTCCTAGGTGCTGTGGCTCCAGCACCATCCTTACCAATCACCCACCCTCATCCTGCACCTTCTCCTCAGTAATGCTGCCACGCCATCACTGCTCCATTGGAACCACTCACAGCTCGGGTTCACTAAGCAACTCTTGAAAACCAGAGTTCCAAAAAGAGAGAGAGAGAGAGAGAGAGAGCGCTCTTTCTTCATTGGTCCCTCAGGTGTCCCCAAAAGCCAGCTCTGTGCTAGATAGGCAAGAGCTTTCTCTGGGTTTCCCCCCCATGGGTGCCGGAGCCTAAGCACTTGGGTCATCCTCTGTTGGTTCTCCTGGAGCCATTAGCAGGAAGCTAAAACATAGGTGGGCAGCTAGGACATTTACCGCCTTCCATTTGGATCCCACAGCACAGGAGGTAATTTTACCCGCTATGCCATGAAACTAGCAGCAAAAGCAACATTTCTAATGAGGGACTTGAACATTGTAGATTTTTGTATCTGTAGGGGTTTCTGGAATCTGTACCCTGTTGCACTGTGAGGCTGAAGCAAACAGCTTAAACACAGCTTTGAGGAGGATGGAGGATACAGCCAGGGATCAGGGCCAGCTGTGGATTTTGTTCTGTCCACAGAATAAATTTTGGTCAGAGCCAACATTTGCTGTTGAGTAGGATGGTCATTATAGATCCAGAGTTAACGGCTGGCTTGACCTGCCCTCTATGGTTGCTGATGGGGTGTTGCTGGCCTTGTTCTCCAGTTTCCTGTGAGGTGACCTTGGTCTCCAGGGAGGAGGTGCTAGGAGACATGTAGGAGGCAGGGAGCCTCATCTGAGCTATGCAGAACAGACTTACCACTGTTCAGAATGATGGTAGACACTGACAGCGTCCATGGCTTGCTATAGCCCTCACTGCTGCCTGGTGCTGCCCTTCCTTATCCCACGGGAGGGACTCCTCAGGGCCCTGCCAGCACACCTGAGCAGGTATAGGGCTTCCTTCCCCTCACATCCTGCTGGCAGCATCTTCTCAGGTCCTCAGGAAGCCCAGCCACAGTGGGTGAAGCTTCTACTTGGCCCTAGCCTGCTGGCATCACCCCCTTGTGCCTGGCTCTGCCTTTGGCTGTGTCCCCTGCCTGTTGGGCCTGATGTTGGAGTGTGTAGCCAGAGCTGTCCTCTCTTGGAGTGTGATATCACAGCTGGTCCCTTGGCTGGTCCCTGGTCTCCACACAGGATGAAGTACATGGCTCTGCTCTCGTATCTATAAGGAATAACAGCAAAACTCACAACCACCTCTTGTCACAAGAGAGATTTTTTTTTTTACCACAAAGAGATTTCTAAAAATATTTAGTGTAGTTATTTGAAAGGTAGAGTTATAAAACAGAGAGAGAAATCCTCAATTCACTGGCTCCCTCCCCAAATGGTTGCAATGACTGAGGCTGGACCGAAGCAAATGCAGGCCTGGAATTACCAATTAGAAATCTGTATTTCCAATGTGGG